TTTTCATCCATGTACTAATGGAAATTCTGAAATTTTGAACTCGGTACTAGAACAATATTTAAGATGTTTCATTAATTTTCAAGAGGATAACTGGACCGAACTTTTGCCTTTTGCTGAAGTTGCGTTTAATAATGCTGTACATTCAAGCACTGGTTTTACCCCTTTTAGAGTAGCAACAGGCCAGGATTTCAGCCCCATGCCTGAACTACCCACAGAAGAACCCACCATCCCCTCACTTAAGGAGTGGATGGATAATTTGCGAAACACGTGGCCAGTGGTTAGATTAGCCTTACAGGAAGCTAGAGAAGCTTTTAAGATTCAAGCTGACAAGAAAAGGATGGAACTCAAACCTTTTCATATTGGAGACAGAGTATACTTATCTACAAAATTCTTGAAATCATTACAACCATCAAAGAAACTAGGGCCAAAGTTCGTTGGACCTTTCCCCATCACTAGAATCATAAATCCAGTAGCAGTTGAACTACTTCTTCCAAAGACACTCAGGCAGATCCACCCAGTATTCCATATCAGTTTACTCAAACGAGAAGTAACCTCATCCCTCAGACCACCTGCATCTACACCATCTGTTCCCATCATGATTGAAGGTGAACAACACTTTGAAATCAAGGAAATCCTTGATTCTAGGATCCACAGAGGGAAAGTCCAATACTTAGTTGCTTGGAAACATTTACCATCAGCACACAATGAATGGGTCGCTAAACACCACGTTAGGGCTCCAATCTTACTGAGAAAATTTCACTCCCAATACCCTAACAAACCTTGTTGATCTACTATCATGAAATCTTGAATTCTTGTGTATATTTGTTTTTGTTTTTTTTTAAAGGTGGACCCTTTTGTTTTCTAAGGAGGGTAGCATGTCAGATCCCTAAAAGTGATACTGCCATTCAAGTGAAGGAAGGGGGAACTTGGATGGCCTGTGTCATCAGATATTTTACAACCTATATCCTGGCGCCAAGGAAGCCTGAGATTCCCTTTACCTGCAGGAATTTATATGATAGCCATGTGGGTTGTCTCACTTTAAAGGGAAGTGGTGGGAATGCATGTTTGTTCAGGTTCTCAAAGGAAATAGTAAAGAAAACATCTTCACACTTGTGTATTGGCTGAAATCCGCATTCTGACCTAAAGGGAGGGGTCTCTACCACTTTAATCCTACTGCTTTGCCTAAGGGCATTCAGATTGTGCTTTAACTGGATGGTTTTCACTTCTGCTTAATAAAAGAATCCTTTTGAACAACTACGTTTCAAGAGTTCGTACTTTCTTAAGTTGGAAGGAGAGGCGATCCTTACAGTTAATCTATAGTTCCTTTCCCATAAATTTTGCCATTTCTCTAATTCTATGTTATAGCCAACATTTTCCCCCCGTTGTACCATTGTATCTTTTATTTGTTCATCCTCCATTTTTAAATTTAGCAAAAAGTTTTATACCTTCTTAATTAAATTTTCATCAGTGTTCAACAGTGTCTTATCAAATGCTGTTTGTCCTTTATAAAAGCCATACTTTTTCATACCTATGTCATATCTAGATTGTATTGGAATTGAGGCCACCATGAAAATATAATGTCCTGTTCTTCAAGTTCTTGCTTCAATTTTAATTTCCCTTCAGTGTCTAAAATGTCTTTATATGTCACGATTTTTTTAAACATCACCAGATTTAGATATGTAAAGGCTTCCATCATTGAGAGGCATTCTGGAATGTTCAAGTATATTTTAGGCTTTATCTTTTCCCATATCAATATTAGTGAATTTCTTATATAGTGATTTTGAAAATATCTATAAACTTTATTTTTCTCATACCATAGGAAGGCGAGCCATCCTAATTGTAAATCATGTTCTTCTAAATATAACAGTCTCTTGTATCTGAGAGTTATCCATTCTTTGTTATCACACAATTTGATACTCCAAACCCTCCATTTTCTTTTTATTTGCTTAAGTAGTTTTATATAATTGTCTTCTTTTATTGTTGCACATCCTGCTATTAAGTACCAGCCTGGTGGCTCAGCAGACTAAAAGCATTGTGATTAACACCAGCTGTCTGCAATTACTGTAAGTTTAATCTCATCAGGCTCAAGGTTGACTCAGCCTTCCATCCTTTCTAAGGTAGATAAAATGAGGACCCAGTTTGTGGAGGCAATAAGCTGACTTTGTATAAATATACAAAAGTATGAAGGCTATTGCTTAACGCATTGTAAGCCACCCTGAGTCTCCGGAGAAGAGTGGCATATAAATCAAATTAAAAAAAAAAAGTATATTCCCAAATATTTACCGTATTTTTCGGTGTATAAGACGCACCGGAGTATAAGACGCACCTTAATTTTGGGGGAGGAAAACAAAGAAAAAAGTATTTTACCTCTGCCTACCAGCATTTAAGGTGGCGCTGCCCTCCTCTTCCTCCTGCAAGCGAGAGGTGCAGGGACTACTCGCTTTCCCCCAAAGAGACCCTAGCATACTCTGGGGGGAGGGACAGAGCACAGCCTGAGGAACAACCCTCCCTCTTCGGGACAGTGGGGGGGGGGGAATCTGCCCAGCAGCTTTGGGGAACAAGGCAGGTGCCATGATTTGTGGCTGGTCACCCCTCTGGCCACGCTGACTTCACTCCCCAGCAATGTGAGGAGCCGCCGCCACCACTGCCTAACCCTCTCTGTGCCCAGGAGCCAAGCCGAGCTGAATGGGAGCCCCTAAAGGGAAATGTTCCTCTTTTCCAGCCATTGCTGCCTGGATCCCAAAATGCAAACCTCAAGAGTTGTGCTTCAGGTGGCGGCCAGTTCCCCTGCAATGTGCAGCGGGGAACTGGGAAGTGCTTTGGATTCAGGGAGGAGATTGTAGCGCTGACGCCTAAAAGTGTTTTTCTGCATATTGCAGAGCCGCGTGCCCCCGTCCTCCTTCTCAGCAGACTCTTCTCTTTCCTCCTGGCCAGATCAGCCGCCTGAAACACGGTACACACCCCATGTTTGGAATCGGGAAGGGGATCGCGGGTCTGCCGCCCAAACCCGCGATCCCCTTCCCGATTCCAAACATGGGGTGTGTGCAGAGACAAAAAAAAGTGTACCATGTTTCAGGCGGCTGATCTGGCCAGGAGGAAAGAGAAGAGTCTGCTGAGAAGGAGGACGGGGGTGCGCGGCTCTGCAATGTGCAGAAAAACACTTTTAGGCGTCAGTGCTATAATCTCCTCCCTGGTTTCACCCAATCTATATCTGTACTTTTGGTTTTTATTGCCTAAGTGTAAGAGTTTACTTTTCTCTACATTGAATTTCATTTTGTTAGATAGGGCCCAGCGTTAAAGTCTATCATCTAGGGTGTTGGCTATTTCTGACAGCTTAGTATCATCTGCAAATTTGGTAAGTTCCCCTTCTATTCCCTCCTCTAAGTCATTTATGAAGATATTGAAGAGTACTGGGCTTAAGACAAAACCTTGTGGTACCCCACTGCTTACCTGCCTTCATGTAGATGTGGTACCATTAAGGACTACTCTTTAAGTATGGTTTGTCAGACAGTTACAAATCCATCTGATGGTGATGGATTTGTATACCACTTTTTTCTAGCTTACCAAGAGGTAAGCAAGAAGTAGGTTGTGGTCAGGGGTGGGTTCTAAATTTTTTTACTACCAGTTCTGTGGGTGTGGCTTATTTTGTGGGTGTGGCTTGGAGGTCATGTGACTAGGTAGGCGTGGCTAGCTGGTCAGAGTCATTTCTGGAAGGTCCTCGCACTTACGACCAGTCCTCGCACTTACGACCCGACTCATTTGTTTGCTTTTAACACTGATCAGCTGTAGGACGGCTCTTTGAAGCCCCGCGGCCAGGGCCGGATTTTCCTATAGGCTAACTAGGCTTCAGCCTAGGGCCTCAAGATCAAGAGGGGCCTACATTCAAATTGTTAGCGAAATTAAAATTACACTTTCACTATAGGTGAAAGGGCCTCATAAGTGGAATAGCCTAGGGCCTCTTTTCATCTAAATCCGGCCCTGCCCGCGGCAAGAGTTTAAACAGTTTTTTTCCCTCTAGTCATCAGCTGGGACTCAGGAGGCAGCAATAGATTGGGGGTGGGACCAAATAAAAGGTAAGAATAATGTGGGTGGGGATGTGTGGGAGGGCGGGGGGGGAGAACCGGTTCAGTGACATCATATCGTCACTGCTACTGGCTCGGCCGAACCGGACCGAACCGGGAGGAACCCACCACTGGTTGTGGTGTACTTTGTTGAATGCCTTGCTGAAGACTAAGTATATTATGTCCACAGTATTTCGCTGGTCTACTAATTTAGTCACTGAATTGAAGAATGAAATCAGATTGGTTTGGCATGATCTGTTTTTAACAAACAGATGCTGACTTTTAATTATTACTTTACTTGTTTCTAGATGTTGGCAGATCTGTTTTTTAATTGTCTTTTTCAGTATCTTCCCAGGTATTGATGTTAGGCTGATTGGTCTGTAGCTTCTTGGGTCTATTTCCCCCTCCCCCCCACTTTTTTTTGAAGATGGAAACCACATCAGCTCTTTTCCAGTCCTCTGGTAGTTCCCCAGTGCTCCAGGATTTTTGAAAGATGTGATACAGTGGTTCTGAGATGACATCTGTCAGCTCTTTTAGAACTCTGGGATGTAATCTGTGAGGTCCCAGTGATTTGTATCCATCAAGATCAGACAGATGTTCTCTTACCATGGTTTTGCTTATTTTAACTTTTATTTCTAGTCTGTCTTTTATAGTTATGTTTTTGGTAGGTTGGACTATAGTTTCTTTTTGTGTGAAGACCACAAAAGAATGAGTTAAGCAGCTCTGCTTTTCCTCTGCTGCCTGTTACTTCTGTCTTCTCTCTTTAGTGGACCGACTGTTTCCTTGATTATTGTAATTATGATTTATGATCTATGACTTGATGTTTATATGTACACTGTGAGCTTATGCATTGGAGACAAATTCCTTGTGTGTCCAATCACACTTGGGCAATAAAGAATTATATTCTATTATTTTTACTTATTTTTCATTTATTTTCAGATTATTGATGGAGATGGGGATGCAACATTAGAAAGACATAAACTACGTTCCCGATTTCAAAATCTCAATGATCTTGTTGGGCATACTCTGTATGCATCTGTAACAGTGATAACAGAATCAGGTGAGCAGGGGTGGGAGAAGAGAAGGGTAAATTGTTTCTTTGAATACAAACATATTACACTTTTAAAAATTAACAGACTACAATTTTAAATACCAGGGTCTGAAAATAAATAAATAAAAGAAAACAAACCATCACCAGAATACATCATTGATTTGTGAATTGGCTTTTGAATCCTCCCCTTTCTCAATGATTATTCACCTTTTTCCTACAAAATCCACAATATTATTGTGAATAAATGTGTCTTAATTGACTCTAAATGTTTAAAAAATTGAATCAAAATTTTCCAAATTAGATTAAAAGGGATGTCCTATCTAAAATGTTGCCCTGTATGAATTGTATCTATTAGTTTTTTTCAATTAAAAAGGTTTCTAGTCATTTGGAATATTAGGCCTAAATTTGGAATATTAATGTCCTTCTCTTCCTGATGTGCTTCCTGACACCAGTATCAATCTGATCTTGTCTTTGTTTCTATTTTTTCATGGTCTTCTTAAAACACCAATAAAACACTTAATTGCTATGGCAGGTGGCATAATAGATCTTATATGAATCTTATTCATTTCTGTAAAAACTGATCAAAATTTTGGATTTTTGGCAATGCTACCAGATATGTCAGTTTTTATCATTATTAGATACTGTCCTCAAATATTTGCTAAAAATTGGAATACAATATGAATATTTTTTAATAATCCTTCCACAGTAAGGTAAAGCTTTCCATTTCATATTCTTCCACAGCAGGGGGTGGGTTCTAAAATTTTTTACTACCGGTTCGGTGGGTGTTGCTAGGGGGGGCGTGACTGATTGTGCATGGCCAACGTGATGTCACTCACACACTCAGTTACATGACCCCCCCAAGCCACGCCCACTGAAAAGGTACCTAAAATTTTTGGGACTTTTTGAAACTTTTTCTTGACACTCCGGCCCCATATCCAGGTCGGGACGCATGGGGTGGCGGTGGTCGTCTCGGCTTTCCCTCCGTTGCCCTTCCTGGCCGAAAAGTGCCCCTTCTCGCCTCTGACGGGCCTTCCTTGTGGTTGCAGCCAGAGCAATCCACTCTGCCAGCTCAGGGCAGCGGACTCAGCTGTAGCCCAGACGAGCCAAGGAACTGCGGGGAGCTTCCTGCGTGTTGCACCCCCCCCAGCCTTCCCCCCGTGCCTCCGCACCATTTTCGGGCACCCAGCTTACCGGGCTGCTCCCATCCCTGTCTCGGCTCCAATGGCGGCGGCTTCAGGAGATGCTGGCAGCACGGAGGTGCAGGTGAAGGCTGGGAGGGGGATGCAACACATGGGAGGCTCCCCGCAGTTCCTCAGCTCGTCTGGGCTGTAGCTGATTGAGGTGCTTTAGCAGCCATGAGCTGCGCTTTCCTCCAAGTCTCACAGAGAGAAGCACCTGTTTCCCTCTGCCGCTCACAGCGCTTAGAGGAAAGCACAGTTCATGGCTGCTACCGGGCTGCCCCAGTCCCTATCGTGGCTCCAACAGCGGCGGCTTTGGGAGATGCTGGTGGCACGGAGGTGCGGGCAAAGGCTGGGAGGGGGATGCAACACGCGGAGTGCCAAGTCCGCTCTCCTTCACCTCCCCACACTTGTTTACCCATTCCAGAGAGCTCGGGCTACGCCTCCCTCCAACCCAGCTGCCTTCCTTGCTGTGTCGCTCCTGAGCGAACTCTTCTGTCCTTGGCTGTTGCGAAGAAGCAGCAGCTCTGGGTGCGCTACGCCCACCTCATTCTCTTTGAGAGCCGCTTTGCACCTTGTTTGAAAAGCAGCTCTCAAAGAGAAAGAAGCAGGCATAGCGCACCCAGAGCTGCCACTTCTTCGCAACAGCTGAGGACTTCTTTCGCTTGGAGCTCCAAGATGCGAGGAGGGGGGGTGGCTGCAACGCCGGCAGCTTCGGTGGGCTCCTTCCCTCAGTAGTTTGTTTTCTTTTACCTCATTTAGGCGACTTTGTAATTAAAGGCTGCTCCGTGCCTTTTGATCTTTCTCGGGCATGGAGAAAAGTGAGCCTGTGCAAAGGGACTGAGCCTGCTGCTGAACTTGGAAGCCGAGAGGCTTCTTTTCCACCCAGCCACTGGAGCACAGTGCCGGAAAGACCTCCGGTCGCTGCTGCCATCTTCGTGCATGCACAGCTTTCTTCTCACCAGCTGAAGGACTTTTCGGCACCCTGCAGCCAGGCGACTGAGAGGCTTCTTTGCTCCGGTCAGCTTCAGGTGGGCGAGCAAGCAGCGACCGGGGAACCGGTTCAGGGGCGTGGCCTGGCTGCCGTTACTACCGGTTCGGAGAACTACTTCCTAAAGTTACTAACTATTCGGTAGAACCGGGCCGAACCGGGAGCAACCCACTACTGTTCCACAGTAAAGTGAAGCTTTCCATAAAGCTTTCCATTTCATATTCTCAGTATTGTTTCCAAGCTCTTGTTCATATAGACATTTTACTGCATTCTGGAACTCTTGAATGATATCATATAAAGTTTTGACATGATTCTTTGGTATTTTCCTTTAGTTCAGAAATTATTGTTTCAGAGTCAGTCAGGGGGGGTATAAAGCTTTTTTCTTTATTTTTTCATCTTTAATAAATGATAGAACCTGTACATATTTAGTTCTGAAGCATTAGATCTCTGCTTTTTCTCTATATCAGACATTGTTTCTCCATTTATAAATCAACACTATATAAATTTCCATTTGTTCATCTCTTTGAAGTGCTTTAAAATCTCTGGAAAATATTGAACTTTTATCAGGGACATAATTGGAGAAAAGTTACAGTGCTAATATTTCATATCACTTTTGTCAAATTTCAGTTTCCAATTTCAATTTTTTTGTCAATTTTCTTCAAGCAGTTTTGAAACTATAGTCTTGTGTGGAATTACATTCAGACTTTGTTTTTGAAGCATATAAATCTAAGTGCTATTGCTATTTTAAGGGAAACAGCATGTCTAGTCTCAAAACCACAAAATAAAACAATATATTAATAAATCCCCACTCCACACCTTCTGAAGTTTTAATATGCCAATTTTCTATTTATAAATGATCATTTGCCACATTATTTTCTCTAACTTCTTAAGACCATTTACATGACAGGATAATAAAATTTACAATCAGCACATAATATGTTGCAACATTGTTTTCTAGAAAAAGAAAGGGATAGGAAGATAGTGTCAGGGTTCCAAGTAACACCCCCAACAAAAGAAGACTCCGAGGCTCGAGATTCCTCAAAGTTCCATTTTATTAGAGATGTCATATTGGCACATCTGGGGAAACTTGAATCTGAAAGTTTCCAGGTTTTCCCCACCCAAGTAAAAGTTCCTGCTCAGCACCCAGATGTCCATCACATGGCTCAATCAGGCACCGTTCCAACTGGAGATGCCTCCCAGTCACCCAACTCCAGGTGCCAGGCAGACGTCCTTGACTCTTTGAGAAAAGAATGTTATTTTGACCATATAGCTCCCATACTCCATATAATCCCCCCTCCCATTTTCCCACAGTAGAATATATGGCAGGCCTGAAGGCCCAATGCAAAAGATGGCTGTCAGATCCCTAAAAGTGATACCGCCATTCAATCGGAGGAGGGGGGACATTTGGATTCGATTTATTAGCATTGCCTGTGTCAACAGATATTTTACAACCTATATCCTGACGCCAAAGAGCCCTGAGATCCCCTTTACCTGCAGGAATTTTTATGATAGCCATGTGGGTTGTTTCACTTTAAAGGATAATGGTGGGAATGCATGTTTGTTTGGGTTCTCAGAAAAACTAGTAAAGAAAACATCTTCACACTTGTGTATTGGCTAAAATCTGCATTCTGACTTAAAGGGAGGGGTCTCTACCACTTTAATCCTACTGCCTTGCCTAAGGGTATTCAGATCTTGCTTTAACTGGATGGCTGTCACTTCTGCTTAATAAAAGAAATCCTTTTGAACAACCACGTTTCAAGAGTTCTCACTTTCTTAAGTTAGAAGGAGAGGCGATCCTTAAAGAAAGCAAAATCTGCAAAATGGTCAACTCAGAGAAGCAATCTTTGCTCTACTGAGGGGATCTTGCAAACCATGTCGGAACGAAGCAGAGAACTGGGAGAAACCGATTGCTGGGGGGAGACAGCAACGGCCACCCAGTTGGATGCCTGTTTCGTACACCCCATCAGAGAGGATAAGGTAACCCTGGAGAATCCTGAAAAGCCCTGCTGGTCAATTGGCATCGGGAAGAAAGATAGCTGGGATGAGAGATCGAGAGGAGTCACCCTCAGCCGTGGCAACCAAAAACCGGGGTGGAAACTGGAACTAGAAGCCCTTGCTGACCAGGGGGGAATGAGCAAAGCACCACTGGGGGAGGATTATCTGAAGAGGCATATAACCCAATTGGTGATGGAAACTTTGGAAAACCTCAACATCCGAAGGGAGCCAGGACAACAACCAAAGGACGCGGAAAGGGCAGCAGTCATGGATGATGCCACGGGAGGCACCCCACTCCTGGAGCCTGCCTATCGAGCAGATGGTACAGCAGCAGTAGGAGAAGATCCAGCAACCCCTCCCCCTCAGGCTGCATGCACACCGGTGCCCATTCCCAACCAGCCTCGAGTCCTGCAACTGGAAAGACAAACTCCCTCCCTTGGGGTGAAGTTTGATGGGAATCCGCAGCAATTAGGATTCTTTGTGGCACACGTGCTCACCTACATGCAAGAGTATGGGCATGATTTTCAAACCCAAGGCTCCTGAGTGCGAGTTGTGACCCTAGCCCTAAAGGGTGCCGCTGCCAGATGGATGGTGACCCTGCATAACGCCAACGCACCAGAACTGCGGGATTTCGACCATTTCATGATGGCCCTGAGACATTGGTTTGAGGACCCACTAGCGGATTGCAAAGCATGCGACCGCATTAAGGTGGTGAAGCAAGGGCAACAGCCAGTAGTAGAGTATACTGAAGAATTCCGGGACCTCGCGTGTCGTGTGCACTGGCCGGAAGATATTTTGGTGAGCTGTTTCAAGGACGGGCTGAATGATGATCTATACAATGCCTGTGTAGCTCGAGGTGCACCGAATCACCTACATGAATAATATGTCATCGCTGAAGAAGTTGAGATCGATATGGCCAGAAATCAGTATCGAGTGGGGTGAGCATGGAAGAAATCCTCACCCCAATGGAAGCAAGAGCCCCTCAAACCACAAACAGCATTCTCTCCGAGATCTTCAGCCTGTTTCAAATGTGGAAAAGAGGGGCATCAAGCTGCAGAGTGTCGTTCGCAAACACCTGCCTGGAACCACCCACCGGGGGAGAACCCTGCAAAACCGGGTCGGCGTGGGAAGGAGACTGCCCTGAGGAGCAGGGAGACCATAGAAATTCCATCCTCTACCCTCTTTAGGGAGGAAACCCTGGCATCTGAACAGGAGGAATCACACTCATTCGGAAGTGATCCAGATGATGAACCACTGGTAAGCAAACCAATTAAACTGCTTACCCTCCCTTTAAGACTATTTATCCCGAACCAGGACAGGGAGATAAATATCTCCACTCTAGTGGATTCAGGGTGCACCCGTTGTTTGATCAGCTCAACCCTAGTAGAGAAGTTGGGGATTAAGGGAAAAAAGATGAAAAATCCCATCATGTTCTGCCAAATAGATGGGTCAATAGCAGGAGGGGAGCCAGCTTCTTTTGCTACCGAGCCTCTACATCAGTGGTGGGATTCTGTCGGTTCTAGGTGGTTCGGCTGAACCGTTTGTTAAATTGCTGGCTCACCTCGCCCCTTGCCCCGCCCCTCCACACCACTGGGCGAGGGGTGGGCGAGCCAGCAATTTAACAAATGGTTCGGTGTTGTTTTATAATTTTATTGGCCTCGCAGCTGCTGCGGGGCTTCAAAAGGCCGCCCTACAGCTGATCAGTGTTAAAAGAAAACAAATGAGTAGACCGACGCCTGCAAAAATAAATGGGTAGACCCAGTGGTGGGATTCTACTTCGGTAGAACCGGTTGTTAAGTAGTTAAGCCAGTGGTTGCCAAAGTGGGCGGTACCGCCCCCTGGGGGGGCGATGGAATGCCTTAGGGGGCAGCAAGAGGCAAGGGGGGTGGTGCGGGGGACTAAGTGGCAAGGAGGGTGGCCCCCACCCTTTGGCCTGTGCCTCGCAGCACTTACCTCCTTGCAAGCAAACAGCAAGAAAAAACAGCCCCTTCAGCTTCAGCATCGGTTAATTAGCACAAGTTGATTAGATCGACCTCCCGACTCTCAGCTGATTTACTCTTAGCTGTTTTGCCAGGGCTCTGTTGCTATCTGCAAAGAGTGCTGGAGCAGATTTTTTTTCCCCTAGCTATGCTGAAAAAGCGAAACTGAAAGTAAAGCAGGGTCTTTGCTGCAACGTGACAAAATGAGGCAGAGAGAGATTTCTTTTTCTTTTTCCTCACCAAAAAAGGTAGGTGCAAAACTGCAAACAATGGAAAATTTAGGGAAAAAGAGGAGAGTTCAAGATTTTAAAACACAAAAGAAAAAAAAGCTCTATTTAACTAGGGAATTGTAATAATTGAGATACTATTAATTGTATATTGTGTTGAAAGCAGAAATGGTTAAGTTGTGGTTTGGAGGAATATATGGGGGAAATTATTTGGTTTATTATTATTGGTAAGTATAATTAATTGATTTGTAAGAAATTGGATTGCATGGAAATAATTGGAATATTCATGTTCATATTGATTAATATACAAAAAAGATAGTTATATAACTAATTGATTTATATTAAAATGTTGAATTTGTATTAAACAACTGTAATATTATTTGATATGGCCCAAAGGGCTAATCAATAAATAAAATTGAATTGAATTAAAAAACTGTAATATTACATAATTAACCAATGTGAGGATGGATATAAAAATAGATGACAATGGAAAGGGGTATAATATAGAATAGAAGGGAAAAATTGAATTTGATTAAGATTAGAGATGAGGATGAAGGGTAATATTGGTTTTTTAAAAAAATAGATGAGGAATAAATATGGCAAAAAGGAAATATAGAAATTGTAAATTTAATTGAAATGACTAAACACTGTTTAAATTTGTGAACCGGCCAAATACTCTGTTCAAAGAAAATACATTGTATGTTTGTATGTGTGTTTCTAATTATTGCTATTTATTCATATTTGTCCTCTTTTATTCTTTAAAGTTTAACAATTCATTCTTTATCTTAATATCTTTATATTTGTTTGGGGTTGCCTTTCTTCCATTTCATCTTTTTTACTGTACAGCAATCTTTCTCCTCAAACCTACCACCTCTCTCTTTTCTTTCCTTCTTACTTTCTCTTCCCCCCTCTTCTTCTCCTTTCTTTATTCAAATTTCTATACCGCCCTTCTCCTTTCGGACTCAGGGCGGTGAACAGCCAAGATAAAAACATCTATACAAAACATCACAGTTAAAAATAAAGTTAAAATAATTTATAAATTTGGCCCATAATTTAAAACTTGTCAATTAAAATCAATATTAAAATTTTAAAACTAACTCTAAAATCAAGACAGACCGGCTAACTGGAAAAAATGAGTTTTTAGGGCCCGACGAAAAATCCGAAGGTCGGAGATCACTCGTATCTCTGGGGGTAGATTGTTCCATAGGGTAGGTGCCACCACAGAGAAGGCTCTCCTCCTGGGGGTCGTCAGCCGGCATTGTCTGGCCGACGGCACCCTGAGGAGGCCCTCTCTGTGGGAGCGAACCGGCCAGTGGGAGGCTATTGGTGGCAGAAGGCGGTCCCGTAAGTACCCTGGCCCTAAGCCATGGAGCGCTTTAAAGGTGATCACCAACACCTTGAAGTGCACCTGGAAGTCCACCGGAAGCCAATGCAGCTCACGCAGGAGAGGAGTCACATGGGAGCGCCCCGTCACTCCCATAATCCCCCGCGCAGCCGCATTCTGCACCAGTTGGAGCCTCCGGGTGTACCCCAAGGGGAGCCCCATGTAGAGAGCGTTACAATAGTCCAGACGAGAAGTGACGAGTGCTTGAGTGACCGTGCGTAGGGAGTCCCGGTCCAGAAAGGGGCGCAACTGGCGTATCAGGCGAACCTGACAAAAAGCCCCCCTGGCCACGGCTGTCATATGCCCTTCTAAAGACAGCCGCGCATCCAGGAGGACACCCAAGTTGCGGGCCCTCTCCGTGGGGGCCAATGATTCGCCCCCAATAACCAGCGATGGCGTCAGCTGGCTATACCGGGACGCCGGCAGCCACAGCCACTCGGTCTTGGAAGGGTTGCGTCGAAGCCTGTTTCTCCCCATCCAGACCCGCACGGCCTCCAGGCACTGGGACATCACTTCCAAGGCATCATTGGGATGGTCTGGGGTGGAAATGTACAGCTGAGTATCATCAGCGTACTGATGGAACTCCACCCCAAAACCACGGATGATCTCACCCAGCGGCTTCACATAAATGTTGAACAGGAGGGGCGAGAGGACCGACCCTTGTGGCACCCCACAAACAAGGCGCCTTGGGGTCGACCGCTGCCCCCCTGTCAACACGGATTGCGACCGGTCGGAGAGATAGGAGGAGAACCACCGCAAAACGGTGCCCCCCACTCCCAGTCCCTCCAGCCGGCGCAACATGATACCATGGTCGATGGTATCAAAAGCCGCTGAGAGGTCTAATAGGACCAGGATAGAGGAAGAACCCCTATCCCGGGCCCTCCAGAGATCATCCACCAACGCGACCAATGCCGTTTCCGTGCTGTACCCAGGTCTGAAGCCGGACTGGAGCGGATCCAGATAGACAGCTTCATCCAGGTACTGGGGAAGCTGTCGCGCCACCACACTCTCAACAACCTTCGCAATAAAGCGAAGGTTGGAGACTGGACGATAGTTAGCCAAAACAGCCGGATCCAAGGATGGCTTCTTGAGGAGAGAAGGCGGCCGGCAGGACACCCTCGCTCAAAGAAGCGTTAAAAATCCCCTGGAGCCAGCCTCGTGTAACCTCCCGGGAAGCCAGCACCAACCAGGAGGGACACGGGTCCAATAAACATGTGGTTGCGTTCAGCCGCCCCAAGATCCTGTCCACGTCCTCGGGAGCCACAGGATCGAACTCCTCCCAGATAACACTCTCAAGGCCTGCCTCAGTCGTCTCGTCTGAACTAACCCAGTCGGCGGCCAAGTCTTCCCGAATCTGAGTTATTTTATCATCCAGATACTGTACAAAATCCTCAGCTCGGCCCTGCAAGGGGTCCTCCCGCGCTCCCAGATGGAGGAGGGAGCGGGTCACCCTAAACAGGGCGGCTGGGCGGTTATCTGATGACGCGATAAGAGCGGCAAAATAGCTAGATTTCGCCGCTTTTATCGCCACTAGGTAGGTCTTAATATGAGACCTTACCAGTGTCAAGTCAGACTCGGAACGACTGGCCCTCCAACCGCTCTCTAGGCGTCTTTTCCGGCGCTTCATCACCCTCAGCTCCTCGGAAAACCAAGGAGCTAAGTGAGTTCGGTGCCGGGTCAGAGGCTGCAAAGGCACGACCCGGTCCAAAGCCCCGGCAGCTGCCCTATCCCAGGTGGCCACCAGGTCATCAGCCGAGTCATGAGCTAGAGTCTCAGGAAATGGCCCAAGCTCCATCTGGAACCTATCAGGGTCCATCAGGCGCCTGGGGCGGAACCCCCTGGTCGGTTCCGCCTCCCTGCGGTGGGGTACGGCGGTCAGAAAGTCAAGTCGAAGGAGTGAGTGGTCAGACCATGACAAGGGTTCAATATCTACATCCCCTATATCAAGGCCACTCAACCACTGACCAGAGATAAAAACTAAGTCCAGAGTGTGTCCCCCCATATGAGTAGGGCCGTGAATTACTTGGGTCAGGTCCATGGCCGTCATGGAAGCCATGAACTCCCGAGCTACCTCAGATGTCTCACCGATGGATGGCAGGTTGAAATCCCCCATGACCACAAGTCTGGGGGTATCAGCCGCCACCTCGGCTATAACATTGAGGAGTTCGGGCAGGGTCGTTGCCACGTGGCAGGGAGCCAGGTACGTGATCAACAGACCCATCTGCACCCCACGACCCCACTTCACAAAAAGGGACTCACATCCAGCTATCTGAGGTACAGTGGTCTCCCTCGGATCAAGACCTTCTTTTAAAATGACCGCCACCTCCCCCGCCCCTGCCCTGAGCTCTCGGCTGATGAAATGCACGGAAGCCTGATGGGCACATCTCCACGAGGGGAACTCCCCCCTCATGGCCCAACCAGGTCTCCGTGATACCTGCCAGGTCCGCTCCCCCCTCCTGAATAAGATCACAAATGAGGGGGGCTTTATTTACTACGGACCTGGCATTACATAACATCAGCCGGAGACTCGGGCGCTGAGACTCTAAGCAGCCTGGGGAACGGGAAGAGCTAAGGGGACCGGGGCACGCAATCGCTCGGAGATAGCGAGCACGTGCCCCCACCACATGATATGGCCCCCTGCTCCCGCCATACCTGCCCCTCCCACTCAGCGTGTTAATAGAGAAGCCCTCACTAGAGGGCATTCTAACAGTTCCCTTTCCCCCAGAGTCCGTACCCCCTACGGCACCATTAATAGCAGCTGGACTGGTCTCCAACCCCCGTGGGTTTTCCCCCAAACCCACATAACCTCCCCCACCCTCAGAACCCCTTAAAAGTCTAATTAAAAAAGTCTTTAAAAAACCCCTCAATCCCCTTTTTGCGACATGCCACCTCTCGGGGTCCCAAGATCCGTCATTAAGGTGGGCCCTCGATAACATAGAGGGCCAGGCCTGCGAGAGGGGGGAATCTCGCAGCACAAGAAGCTTTGCCCTAGAATACATTTTAACACTAGAGTAATAATACAAGTTTGGCCTAGACATGGCCTAGGGGTCTATAATGATGGTTTCAAATGTCCAGGAAGCAAGACTAAGATAATCGGAAGAGTCACCATTACCCTCTCACGGTAATGGGTAGGAGTCCTCACGTTCAGTCCAGCTGAGGGGAACTATCCAACCACCCTCTCACGGTGGTTGGCCATCCTAATCAGGCAAGATGGAAAAAGTCAGAAAAAGTCCAAAACCACCCTCTCACGGTGGTTTGGCATTCCTGGCCCTGAAAAGATGAGTCCCGTCCGCGGCGAACGTAGTCTGGAGCTGGCTCCATCCATCCTCCCGTAACTGCCTTGTCCTCCATACAGCCAGGAGACAGGACGAAAGACAGAGCCAGGTCCCAAGCTCTGGGGAAGAAAGTCCACATTGGCCGATAGGCCGATAACAGGGCCTAAAAAGGGAGGGGGGGAGGCCATCCATAGTGACCCAATACTTGAGCCATCCACCAGCCTCTCCAACCCCAGGTCTTTCCACACAAACCCTTAACGTCAGCCATGTATCCTTCAACCCCTGAGCACAATGGGGTTCAACTCCCCCATTTCAATGTCGAGGCTTGATGTTCCTCTCCTCTCCTCCAACGCCAACAACTCTCCAGCTCTCCAGCACCACCGCCCTCGACCTGGTTGCCACGCAGCAGCCGCCATTACCACAGCGTCGTCCTTGGTGCTGGCCACACCCGAGCTCCCAGCATTCCCCAGCGCCCCTGGAACATCCAAAAGAAACCCCCAGGGGCATCCAGGGTCAGGAGGGAGCTCGCTGGGCATCACCGCCGCCGCCGCCACCACCACCGCTCTAGCAGCCGCCGCCTCGGTCAAACAGGGAGAAAAACGGCGGAGCCAATGCAGCCGGGCTGTCAGCGTTCAGCCTCGGCGTTCTTATACCCGTGCCGTCTTCCGCTCACTTCTCCCCAGCCACGAGGTTCCGGAGGGCGAAAAAGCCCTCATCAGGCTGGGGAGAGAGTCCTCAAACTGGAAACGGGGTTGCCGATGTTCATGGCAGCCCCAGAAGACCCCTGCCAGTCCACGAGCCGCCCATCTCTAGACGCGATCTAGACGGGCGTCGCCATCTTGGGGCATGCGCAAAAGAACAATCCTCCCTACTTCCTCTTCCTTTTTCCTTCTCCTCCTCTCTTCCTCCCTCTCTTACCCTCACTCCTACTCTAATTTCCCTTCCCTTCCTTCATCCCTCTCTATTGCTGTAACCTTTTATGCATATGGACTACTCAGAGAGCTGAAAAAGTTATTTTTGACTGGTCCTCACACTTTTGACCAGTCCTCGAACTTACGACTGTCCTCACATTTTACGTTTTTGCCCTAACTTGTCACCATGGTGAAGAGAAGCAGTTGTGAAATGAGTGACACGGTTGTTAAGAATGCTACAATGAGCATAAATGATGACCAGTCATAAGTGCGAAGACCGGTCAAAAGTGTGAGGACCTGTCAGAAATCACTTTTTTCAGCCCTCTGGGTAGTCCTTTTGTGCATATGGACTACTCAGAGGGCTGAAAAAGTTATTTTTGACTGGTCCTCGCACTTTTGACCAGTCCTCGAACTTACGACTGTCCTCACATTTTACGTTTTTGCCCTATCTTGTCACCATGGTGAAGAGAAGCAGTGGTGAAATGAGTGACATGGTTGTTAAGAATGCTGCAATGGGCATAAATGTGAGGATGGTCATAAGTGCGAGGACCGGTCAAAAGTGTGAGGACCAGTCAGAAATGACTTTTTTCAGCCCTCTGAGTAGTCCCTATGCACGTAGCCACGCCCACCTGGTCACATGACCAGCTAGCCACACCCCCAACTAAGCCACGCTCACAGAACCAGTTGTTAAAAAAATTGAATCCCACCACTGCTCTACATATAGGCATCGGAAGCCACAAGGAAATGCTTACATTTATAGTGGCTCCTGGCATGGAATGGCCATTGGTTCTGGGCCTTGCATGGCTAAAAAAATGGAACCCAAAAATCAATTGGAAACAAGGCATCATAAAATTTCAGAGGAATGTGACTTTTGCTGAGAATCCACATAAAGGAACGGAGGGGGCAGGGAATTGAGAAACAGCCATGCCTGGTCATGCCATACCAACTGAGGGCATACCCATAGACTACAAGGATTTAGGTGAGGTTTTTAGCGAAAAAGCCTCAGATGAGTTCCCCCCCACTGCGCCACTGACTGCGCAATAGAAATCTTACCCGCCGCGAAATTCCCTAAACCCAAGATGTACAGCATGTCACTGAGGGAGTTGGAAGAGCTGAGAACATTTATTGAGAAAAATCTAGCAAGGGGTTTCATCGAACCAGTCCGACCAAAAATTGCAGCTCCAGTGCTCTTTAGAGAGAAAAAAGATGGCTCAAAACGTCTCTGCGTTGATTTTCGTAATTTGAATACAATCAGTGTAGAGATCATGTATCCCCTCCCCCTTATGAAAGATATGCTAGCACACCTCGCTAAAGGGAAAATTTTCTCAAAGCTGGACTTAAGGGAGGCTTACTACCGTGTCAGAATTAAGGAGCAGGATGAGTGGAAAACGGCATTTAACACACCCCTTGGCTGCTACCAATTCAAGGTGCTCCCCTTTGGGTTGCAAGTAGCTCCTGCAGTGTTTATGCAGTTAATAAATGAAGTGCTGCATCAGCATTTATATAAGGGGGTCCTGGTCTATTTGGATGACATTTTAATCTATACCGAGACCAAAGCAGAACATGTAAAATTAGCCAGGGCAGTTTTAAACAAACTTCGCTCTGCCAAACTTTATGCTTGTTGGTGAGAAATGAACTGGAGGGCTTGTTGAGTGAAAGTGGTGGCAGTACAGATCTATCTTTGGTGGTAGTTTAATGGTAGACTGCTTCAATATTATTCTAGTTGGAACAGTGAACTATAAATTAAAACCTTGATTTAAAAAATTGAGTTTGAAAATGATTTTTTAAAAAGGCTGAGGTAAAAAAGGTCAAGATGGCAACTATAGTAGTGTGGCTGAAACTCTGCCTGTTTTCTATGTACAAAATGTGGGTGAACACTCTTAAAGAAAAGAGGATTTTTCCTCTTTTGTGTCAATATTGTGAGAGAGCTACACTTTGAGGTAGCTACAAGATTGGAAGAGGATTAGAAACATATATGACCTTGATTTTCTTTGCCTTCATAGATAATTGTTTTTCTAGTTCTTGTTTTTCCTGTCTGACTGAAAATTTATTATTTCTTAATTTCATTTTATGTATACATGTTAATCTAATAGAGAACATAAAATAAGGATGGAAGAAATAGGTGTCTATGGAAACAATGATTAATTCTCATCATATCCTTGATACTACATCTAATACTGTATGTGATGGAAACAGTCCCTGTTGCCCCACAGAATGCCTCATTCTGAATAGCTTGAGTTTTCAAGAAAGAAATGTTGCACCATTGTGCCAGTTTGCATGTTCAGTACTTTCTGGTAGAATAGCAAGTGGGGGAAAGTATACTTTGATTAACCAAAATACAGAGATACCTACTATTTTGCTATTTTTGAAAATAACTATCAAGTTAATTGTGATTTATTTAATAAACTATTGTTAAAAAACTGTACGTTATACCAACTTGCTTTCTGTTTTCCAGGTGATTTTGAAGATGATTTCTTTGGAGATGACAACATCATCTCAAGATCTGATTTTCCTGAGAGTTGGTTGTGGCTAACGGAGGTGCTGCCCGAGCAGCCTAACAGTCAAGGGTATTAGAGTTCTGCTGTTTATATTATCCCACTTTTCAGCTGAAAGGAAAATCTAATGATTGCAAAATTTATACAAGGATGGGGAAGATGGTGTCTCTTCCAAGAGGAAAGGTTCAGAAAAGGTCCTGCATGAAACCTGGGGTTTATTTTTCACCTCCTTTAGAAGAGAAAAGCTACTTGTTAATCACTGTTCTTTATTATGGCCAATGACCAGAATTCCATTTTGAAAAAGTAGAAATGATTATTAATTACAATTAATAAGAGAATAACAGAGTTGGAAGGACCTTGGAGGTCTTCTAGTCCAATCCCCTGCTTAGGCAGGAAACCCTACACACTATAACCCTAAATAGTTATCCAATGTCTTCTTAAAAACCTCCAGTGTTGGAGCATTCACAACTTCTGGAGGCAAGTTGTTCCACTGATTAATTGTTCTAACTGTCAGGAAATTTCTCCTTAGTTCTAATTTGCTTTTCTCCTTGATTAATTTCCACCCATTGCTTCTTGTCCTACCCTCAGGTGCTTTGGAGAATAGCTTGACTCCCTCTTCTTTGTGGCAGCCCCTGAGATATTGGAACACTGCTATCATGTCTCCCCTGGTCCTTCTCTTCACTAGACTAGCCATGCCCAGTTCCTTCAACCGTTCTTCATGTTTTAGCTTCTAGTCCCCTAATCTTTTTTGTTGCTCTTCTCTGCACTCTTTCTAGAGTTTCCACATCTTTTTTATATCGTTAACATTTACATTTTTTTTACATTTAGTTTATTTAGAATATTTAGTTTTAATATCTTGCTGGTTTAAAAAAGAAAAACTGGCTACTTTAACAAAACCATCTTTAAGGAGGGCTGAGTAATTGTCTTTCTGCATAATTGATTGTTTAAGGCTTGATATACCCTGCTTAAACCCGCATCATCCTGTGAAAAGCCATGAATTTTAATAAATTAATCTTAGCCAAGTTGATCCAGAGTTATCAGCCAAGATCAAAGGACCTAGGTCCATTGGGGAAAAAAATAGTTTCAGCGAAATAGAGATGTATGTTGGCATATGCTGTTTTCCCTTTTCACACCAAAAGACCCCATTAGCAGCAATAATGCATCTTTCCTCTTGGGTTCTACTATATGGAGCACAGTAGAAGGACCAAGAAATGGTAGTTGTGGAGAAAGCTGCTTTTCAGCTCTTGCCACTTGGACTAGATCGGTTTGTTGTGCATCGTCTCCCATTACAGGGCAATTTTGGAAGCTGTCAGTAGAACCTTGAAGGAAATGCAGATAAAGGAAATGTGACAGAGAATCACCTTGAAGTTGATTTCAAAGTTAGGATTAGGTAGTTGGTGATTATTTATCCAGCAGCAATCAAATTGCATTGTCATATCTGTTTCCCATATTACTGTTGATTGCTTTCAAAATGAGTATTTTATTTTGAAACCCCACTGTTGCAAACTTAGAATTTAATGGGGGAAGTAGATGATGACAACTTCCATTTGGAACTTGTTTGTATTTCCCATTGATTCTCAGATCCTTTTGGAAGGAAGGATGCTGTATAATTGGTAGCTGTCTACCTGACATGAGCCTCCAAGTGTTTACTGTAATACCTCTGCATAGTAATGATGCAACAAAATGGTTCTCAGCCTTTTCTTCACTGTGGCCCCCTTTAAATATCTTTTGTGGCCACAGACCATGTCTACAGACCCTCAAGATGTAACTCAATATGTAAATCATAACATTTCTTCAACCCTTTGTGGACCTCCTGTGATGACATGCCCCTCCCCTCCCCGGAGTCTGCGGACCACAGGTTGAGAACCACTGACATAACACATTCCATTTTGTTACTAGGATTTCAAGCAAGACACTGTCTTTTTATCTGAGGGATTCCATCACAACTTGGGAGGTACTGGCTGTGAGCATTTCACCCACCAAAGGTAAAGAATTTTGAACGATGGAGCTAAAGTTGGGAGATGTGAAAAGCACCTAAGAATTGAAGTAGAATTAACGTTTTTTTTTGGGGGGGGGGCTTGCCTTACTTGCAGGGATCTGTGTGGCTGAACCTTATGAAATAACAGCCATGAAAGACTTCTTCATTGATCTTCGAGTACCGTATTCAGTAGTGAAGAATGAGCAGGTGGAGATTCGAGCTGTTCTGTACAACTATGCTGATGAGGATATTGAAGTAAGTTTTGGGACTGTGACAAAGAGTGTGGGTTTAGAAATTAGGAAATGTGCATGACTTGTGTTGTTATCAATTCTCTGACAGGCAAACTTTATGTATTCCCAACTCTAAGCCACAGCATTTTGTGACCAATAAAAAAGTGCCAGTGATGGAGGCAATGGTGGGCACATTTGGCTAAGGCTCTTTGGATCAGAGTTGCTTAAATATTTTGCTGTTAGGACCCCTTCCCACTTTTGAACATTATAGAGGGCTCCAAAAGAGCTTTTATTCCTATGGGCTATATTTATCTATCTTTACTATATTCGCAAAGTACATAGCAAACGAATGTAAGATCTACTAAATGCTGTGAACAACATTTTAACTTCCATCCCCAGCACACTATGTGAAACAAACCAACTAATGTACAGCATAGCTGCCATTATAACTGCATAATTGGGTTATAAAATCCCCCCAAAAAACCCCACTGGAACACCAAAGTGGAAAATTTGACTTGAAAATAAAGTAAAAAAACTACGAGGAGATGTCAGCAATTTTAAATATTTGAAAGAAGGAAAACTAAAGAATAAAAAGCTGAAAAATAGTGTACACAAAACATACAATCTGGAGGAAAAAACAATAACAGAAATTATGGAAGAACTAAAACAGCATGTAATAGCAACAGCAAAGAAAATTGAAAGATATGAAGGATGAATAAAACAATATCATGAAAATGTCCAGTTCAAAAGAAACCAACACCTCTTCTACCAGTCACTTGATGAAAGTCAAGTCCATACTAATGTTCACCCATGTAAAGAAAAAAACTTTGAACTTTTGGAAACAACTGTGGGTAAACCCAGTGGAACACAAAAAAATGGCCTCCTGGATCACAGCTACTCAAAAACAGGTGACACGAAACAAAATGGAGAATATTGTAGTAACAACTGATAAGGTTGCACAACAAGTAAGGAAGGTCGACAACTGGCCTGGACGAACTGCATTGATACTGGTTAAAGCACCTGACCAGCCTCCATCACCTCAATTTGATGAAATGTTTCAAAATGCAACAAGCAAAGAATGGTTAATACCTGGCCAAACATACTTGATAATGAAAGATCTAGAAAATGGCACAGAATCAAGCAACTATTGCCCAATTACTTGTCTGCCAACAACATTCAAACTTTTTACAAGAGTACTGACAAATTCAGTATTCAATCATTTGATGGAAAACAGTTTGTACCCAGGAGAATAAAAAAGAAATTACAAAAAAATCAAGAGGAACAAAAGATCAGCTGCTCATTGACAAAATGATACTAAAAAATGCAAAACGAAGAAGAACAAATTTAAATATGGCATGGATAGATTACAAGAAGGCATTTGACACATTATCCCACAGCTGGATTAACGCCTGTTGAATAACTTGGGAATCAGCAAAAATATTTGTACATTTTTGAAAGCAAATATGCAAAAATGGAAAACAGTTCTAACAGCAAATGGGGAGAACATTGATGAAGTCAACATCAGACAAGGAATCTTCCAAGGGGATTCACTTTTGCCACTACTGTTCAACATTGCATTAATTCCACTGACAATAATCCTACGAAACACAAAACTGGGCTACCAAATCTCAAGCCAACATGGCAAGATAAACCATCTACTATACATAGATGACTTAAAACTGTATGTGAAAACCCCACTGTGTTGAATCAATACTCAACACAGTTCAACTGTTCAGCAATGACATCAGAATGAACTTTGGACTTGAAAAATGTGCTATACTTTCCATGCAGCGAGGAAAAATGGAAAAAATAGAAGGAATAGAACTGGGAAATGGAAGCATTCTGAAAGCATTAGCAAAAGTTGACAGTTACAAATACCTAGGCATATTGGAAGCAGATAACATCTTGAATGGAAAAATCAAAGCGTCAATGCAAAAGGAATACATCAGGAGGGTCCGCAAAATTTTAAAATCAAAACTGAATGCTGGAAACATAATTAAAGTCATTAAAACATGGGCAGTTCCAGTGATACTCTACCCAGCTGGAATCATCAACTGGACTGTGGCTGAACTGGAAAACTTGGACCGGAAAACACACAAACTTTTGAATATGTACAACGCTTTACATCCACAAAGTGACATCAACAGGTTGTTCCTGCCAAGAAGAATAGAGGGCAGAGGGCTATTGCAAATCTGTCAAATTGTAGAAGAAGAAAAATGAAGTAGTAGATTTGAATGATTATGTGAACCAAAGTACAGAAAAATTGCTGCAGGCTGTGAAAACGGGGAACATTATAAAAACAACAGAAACAAAGGCAGAATATAAGGAAAAACAGCTGGATGATAGATTAAATGGATGGAAAACCAAAGCTTTGCATGGACAGCACTTGAAAAACATTGAACATTGCCCCGATGACAGTGGGTATCACTGTTACATGTTTCATCCATAACCGTGTAGTTTCGATGGCCAGGTCGCAATATTTCATGATTTTTTCCAGTTCTTTTTATTTGACTCTGGCATCTCCTGGTACAGCGATATCAATAAATTGAACTCTTCAGCCCTTGACAACCGTGATATCTGGCGTGTTCTGTTCCAAATGACGATCTGTCTGTATTCGAAAGTCCCACAAGATCTTCACTGTCTCATTTTCAACAACTTTTTCGACTTTATGTTCCCATGACTTTTCGGATACAGGTAGGGCATATTTTTTACATAATGACCAGCGCGGCCCACTGCGAACTGGTAGTAAAGGTCACTTTACTATCCTCGTCACTTCACGCCTGGACTACTGTAATGCTCTCTACATGGGGCTCCCCTTGAGGAGCACCCGGAGGCTCCAGCTGGTCCAGAATGCGGCCGCGCGGGTAGTTATGGGAGCAGCATGGCGGCTGTGGCTCCCATGTGGCTCCCCTCCTGCGCGAGCTGCACTGGCTCCCTGTGGTCTTCCGGGTGCGCTTCAAGGTCTTAGTTACCACCTTTAGAGCGCTCCATGGCTTAGGGCCGGGGTACTTACGAGACCGCCTTCTGCCACCAATAGCCTCTCACCGCCCAGTACGCTCCCATAGAGAGGGGCTTCTCAGGGTGCCATCAGCCAAACAGTGTCAACTGGCGGCCCCCAGGGGGAGAGCCTTTTCTGTGAGGGCACCCACCATCTGGAACGAGCTCCCCCCAGAGATACAGAGGATTCCGGATCTGCGCACTTTCCGCCGTGCCCTCAAAACATTCCTGTTTCAGCAGGCCGGCCTGGCCTAACTTTCCCTTTATATTGCTTTTGATTTTATTTTAAACTGGGATGTCTTGAATTATCTAGGACCAGAGTGTTTAGTATATTTTAATTGGTTTTTTTAACGTTTGTATTACATGTATTTTTATCGTTCGCTGTTCACCGCCCTGAGTCCCTCAGGAATAGGGCGGTATATAAATAAATAAATAAATAAACAAATAAATAAATAAATAAATAAATAAATAAATAAATAAATAAATAAATAAATAAATGTAAGTAAAACCCACCCCTGCATATGCCATCTATAGAACATTTTGTATTGATTTTCTTTATATGCTGTGGACATAGTTAATTTATAGTTTCTTTCCCATATTTGCTGCCATTTGTCTAACTCAATTGTATATCCAAAATTCTTAGCCCATGCTATCATTTTTTTTACCAGTTCTTATTCTAGCTTAATACTCAATAAGTAATTGTATAGTTTTTAAATCATTTTTTCATCTGTTCCTGTGAGTATCTCATCAGCTCTGTTATTTCCAAGTAAAAATCATATAGTTTAGCATCTTTTTCATATCTTGTTATATTTGTAATTGGGTAAACCAATCCATTTCAATCCTTGTTCTTCTATTTCTTGTTTCTTTTTCATTTCCCCCTTATCTGTTAGTATATCTTTATATTTAAGAATAATCCCCATATTGATAATATTTGGATGTATTAACGCTTCCATTGTAGATAACCATATTGGTATTTTCAAGTAATATTTATCTCTAACGTTCTCCCATATTAATAATAATGCATTTCTTACATAGTGTCTTTGAAAATAACTGTGCATCTTATTTTTGCCATACCATAAAAAAGCATGCCATCCCAATTGTAAATCGTGTCCTTCCAAAGTTAATAGTCTTGTGTTTCTTAATTCAATCTATTCTCTCATCCACATCAATGCCTGTGCCTGATAGTATAGTTCCCAATTAGGTAGTCCAAATCCTCCTCAAAGTCTCACATCTTGTTAACATCCTTACGTTAATTCTCACTTTTTTCCCTTGCCATATGAATTTCATTATTATTTTACTTAATTGTTCAAAATATTTCTTTCCCAATTTTATCCGTATTGTTTGAAATAAAAATAAGATTCTCGGTAATATATTCATCTTAATTATTGCAATCCTTCCCATTAATGATAGCTGTAAATTTTTCCATTTCTCCAAATCTTTCTCAATTTAATTTTTCAGTTTATAATAATTATCCTCTTTAATCATTATGCATCTTTTTTTTTATTAAAAAGTTTTACAAAGAAAATCCCCCCCAATATTCCCCCCACCTGCAGCTTCAGCATAAGTTTGTATCTGCTTTCCATCTTTCTCTTGTTGTAACATCTCCATTTTCTTTCTGCCCCCCCTGGTGAAGGTGGGTATCCAGCCTTTAGAACATTGACATAGAAATCTTTTGCCTTCCAAACTGTGTTTAAACGATATCTTTCTCCACCATAATTCACTATTAGACCAGTTGGAATATTCCATCTGTACTGCACTTGTTGATTTCTCAGTTCATTTACTAGGAAACCAAAGTCCTTTCTGCTTCTTAACATTTTTGGGGGGATCTCTTTCAAAACCACCACTTTTTGTCCAGCCACTTGAACCTTATTCTTGTAGGAAGCTTGTAGGATGTCATTTCTGATCCTCCTGGTTGTAAAGTAGATCACCACATCTCTTGGTAACTGCCTTTGTCTTGCCACCCAAGAGTTAACCCTGTAAATTTTATCAATTCGGATTGCCACATCTTCTGGTCTTTCTTTAATTATCCCTGCCATAGCTTCTGCACAAATATCCTTTAAATTTTCCCGGCTATTTTCTTTCAGCCCTCTCAATCTCAAGGCAAATTCCATAGATCTATATTGTAACATAATCAATTCATCATCCACCTTCTCTGTTTTAGTCATAATGTCTCCTACTTTATTTTCCAAGTTCAGATTGGCTTCATTGATTTCTTCTACTCTCTCATCCAGCTGAACAAGGTGTTTTGCCAATCCTGAAACTACTAGAACAATGTCATCTCTTATTTCATCATGCTTTTCTTCAACAACATCTTTAATTGCTTTTATATCCTCCTCAATTTTTTTTAATTTCCCTTCCATGATTACTGTTTGGTTATTCATAGCTGCAGTTTGATTATTCATGGCTTCTTTTATAAATTCTTTAAGTTCATTAAAAGAAGCCTCCTGGCTCTGTGAATCAGCTGGAAGTTGTGCTTTCTGTGTCACTACTGACACTACTGGAGAACCTCCTCCACTTTTAGAAACTCCTGGCTTAACTTGTTTAGAAGCCATCTTTGTTTTAAAAGTCTTTTTTCCTTTCACAGCCACAAAATCCCTTGAACAATTTTCAAAAATTTATAGTTTATAGTTTGTCAAGCAAAATAGTCTTTTCTCCACAAGCTCTCAAATCCCAGCAGCTTTAATCCACTCAGAGTGCAAAGTTCTCAATAAGCACTTTCGTTTCTAACTTTTACTCTCACGCCCACAACAAAGGCGCCATCTTCCAGCCTCCAGCTCAGAGAAATTCAATTAGAAACAATGTAAACCAGGAGTTAAGCGCTGTTACTTGTAAATGCTTGTTCTCCTGTTTCCGCTCTGTCTGCACTTTTATTCAATCAAACTCACTTTTGCCTGCAGAGTTGATCGCGACATCTGGCTCTGTTTAAAACAGAGTCGTCCTGGATCTGGAGCTTCAGTGGGCTGACCGGGGAGCTCTCACCCTCCAAGTCTCTGGATTTATTCCAGAAGGCTTACAGGGAGCTCTACCCACACCCACCAGCTCTCCTCTCTTCTTCTCCTGATGGAGAGGTTTTCAAGCCGCTAGACAGCTGCTTAACGCTGTCAAAGCGGCTTTAACGAGATCACAGGGCCGGCGGGCCGGAGAGACCGTCCACAATGCCGGTGGTGCCAACCGGAAGTCCTAATCATTATGCATCTTGAAGTTAATTAGATTCCTAAATATTTTACTTTCTTTGGAATCTGAATGTCTAGTTTCTCCATTAAGTCTTTCTTCTGTTTTTCTGTAATATTTTTCACCAATAATTTTGTCTTTATTTATTTATAGTCCTGCCACATCTCCATATTCTTCTATTTGATCTATTAATTTGGGTCCTGTTATTTGTGGTTCCTCCAAGATAAATACTAAGTCATCTGTGAAGGCTTGTAGTTTATATTCTTCTTTTTTGATTTTTAATCCCTTTATTTCTTCATTTTGTCTTACATTTCTATTTAATACTTCTAATGTCAATACAAATAATAATGGGGATAAAGGGCATCCTTGTCTTGTTCCTTTCATTATATTAAACTTTTCTGTCATATCTCCGTTCATCATTAGCTTTGCTGACTGTTTGTTATAAATTGTTTTTATCATATTTATAAATCTTCCCCAAAGTCCATAATTTGTAATTGTTTTATCATAAATTGCCAATTCACATTGTCAAATGCTTTTTGCACATCCAGGAATATCATTGCCATTTGCTTATCTGAGTGCACTTCGTAATATTCCAGAATATTCAAAATTGTTCTTATATTATCTCTAATCTGTCTTTTGGGCTAAAAAACATTTTGATCCATGTATATAAATTCGTTTAACAATTTTTAAAATCTATTCACCATTATTGATGCAGATATTTTGTAGTCAGTATTCAACAATGAAATTGATCTGTAATTTTTAATTTGTTGTAAATCTGTGTCTTCTTTAGGTATAAGAGTAATATATGCCTCTATCGATCAGTTTGGTATCCTTGCGTTTACTAAAAGTTCATTAAATACTTCCAACATTACATTGTTTAGTACATCTTGCAGTATCTTATATATATACTGTAGTTCTGCTGGTAATTCATCCAGGCCCGGTGTTTTCCCATTCTTTTGTTATTTAATTGCTTCTGTTAATTCCATCATTGTTAGTCTTTCTTCTACTGCTTTTTTATAATTTTTACACGAAACAAGTACATGGGCAGATCATAATCCGATTATAATTATATGGAAAAGCCAGAAGAAAAGATGGACTTTGAATTCAATAATTTTACAGGAAAATTAATTTCAACAATATCTGGAAAAGGAGTTGGGTTTTTTCTTTAAAATAAACCATCACTCCAAAATGTATGGGATACAATAAAAACATACATTAGAGGGCTGGCAATGACATACCTGGGAAAAAAGAATAAAAAGAAAAGACAAAAACAGAAGAAGTTAGAAGAAAAATATAAAAAGCTGGATAAGGAATTGCAAAAAGATACAAAAAATAAGAAAATCAAAAAACAAATGGACTTGAAAAAACATGAAATGAATTTAATTGAACAAGAGGATTTGTCAAATAAAGTAAGAGCTTCTAAACAATTTTTTTTTGAAAATACAAATAAGCCAGGCAGATGGTTGGCATATAAAATGAAAAAAGAAAAGGAGAAAAATCTAATCAACCAATTAACAGATGAAAAAGGAATGGTATGTTATAGAAATGAAGAAAAGAAAAAAATAGTTCAAAAGTATTATGAGAGACTATATAAACAAGAGATAATAGCTGGAGAAAAGATAGAACAATATGTAAGAAAATCCAACCTACCTAAAATACCTGAAAAGTATCTTCGCTTTCATGGCCTTAGTTTGTAGTGCTTGTTCTTGAGCAGCAAGTATTAAACCTTCCATTTCTTTCTTGATGGCTCCTCTCTAAAGCCATGCCCATGTCAAGTTATGATCACATTTTCCTTCGATTATTATCTCTTTTATTCATTAAACATGAAACTCAGTCAACTGAACAAATGTAAAGATGTATCACAATATTGACTGGCACTGATGGTTGATACGGGTTGCTGCCAGCATCCTAGGTGTTGACCAAGTATCTTCTTGAAATATACAATGTTTTAAAATATATGATGTTGGCGAAAACTGAAGCAACACCAGCGGAACTGCAAAAAACTATACTACTCGGAACATCGTACATTTTAAGAAGGTATTTGGTTGATACCTAGGATGCTGGCAGCAACCTGTATCAGCCATTAGTGCCAGTCAATGGTATTTGTGATTCATTTTTAAATGTTCAGTTGACTGAGTTTCATGTTTAATAATAATAATAAGGGTAACATTGTTTTAAATGTTTGCAAACATCTTTACTGCCTGGCAAATAATTTTGATTTTGTGGGACTCTGTGGGAGTCTTAGAGGATTCTCCAAGGCTCCTTGGATAGTAAGTTAAGGAACACTGGTTTAGATAATCATCTCTGCTCCATTTGCACAATGACTCAGTGGTTGAAGACATTCCCGTTCCTTGCCCCAGCTCCTGTCCACCTAGCAGTGCAAAAGCATGCAAATGCAAGTAGGTTAATAGATACCACTTTAGAGGGAAAGTAACATCACACTCCATAGGCCTTTGGCATATAGCCATGCTGGCCACTTGGAAAATGTCTTCGGGCAATGTGCCTCCCTCAGCCAAGAAACAGAGGTGAACACTGCACCCTAGAGTCTGATACAACTGGGCAGGGAAACTTTACCTTTACCTTTACCTTTATTTTAAAAAGTACCTCTTGGGCTCTTATATTTCAGGGGTCTTATTTGCATAAATATTCTGATTTATTCACATAGTCCTATTTTCCATCAGTTTACGATGAAGAGAAGGATGAATTGCATGATATGATGTATGTGTATGTGTGCTCTATGTGTACTCCTCTTCGGTGTTTCCTTCCATGTATCACAATGATTTGCTGGTGCAGGAACAGATTTAGTGGGGAATGTGTTTGTGTCATCTGTGGAAAAGCTGGATTTTAAATGATTCTTATGGCTAAAGTTGCCTTGTGGCTCATCTGCTTTTTTTCATCTCCACTAGGTGTTAGTGGAACTGTTACACAACCCAGCCTTCTGCAGTGCTTCCACAGAAAGACAAAGATACCGACAGCAGCTCCCGATTAAAGCCCTGTCCTCCAGGGCAGTACCATTTGTGATAGTCCCATTACAGCAAGGATTGCATGATATTGAGGTCAAAGCAAGTGTCCGGGGACAGGAGCTGCATGATGGTGTGAGGAAGAAACTGAAAGTTGTAGTAAGTAACAAGTGGGGCTACATTATGGCTCTTGGAGAGAAAGCGATCTCTGCAGATAAAGACTATTTACCATAATTTATTTATTTATTTATTGGTTCGATTTATATGTCGCCCTTCCAGAGACTCAGGGTGGCTTACAATGCGTTAAGCATTAATTGTATTAATGAGTGCGCTCTTTATCTTCCCCCATTGCAACAGAAAGGCATTTTGGTCTCAAAACTTTACTTGTAACTGCACAAAATGGCATATCTACCATGGTGGCTAAAATGGTCTAGTTTGTTATATAACTTGGACTGTATAGTTATTCTGATTGTCCTTTGTAAACTCCTAGAATCTTCCCAGAGCAAAATTTGATTGATTTGAAAATGGCAGAATGGGAGCAGGTTCACTGCTTGGGAGTTCTTTAAATATTTTTTAAATTTTTTTAAAAATTTAAGTAAATATGCTCACTGTTGCAGACAGGCAATGGACTTATTTTGGTCCAATCTTTCTCCCGCCCACACCCTCAATCCTTCCCCCAGCTGCAATAAAAACAATCCCTGCCAGACGAAACAATTACCCTCTACACTTCAGTGGTGTGATTTGGTGGGTGGGTGGGTGGGTGTGAGACTTGGCCAAGGGGATAAGATTGTCCACAACAGCAATATTTCCAAAAAGAAAAAAAAGTATGCTGGGTTACTAGCCAGATAATCTAGGGGTTTCCTTAGCTAGTCTACCCTCCTGTTCTTGGGGCAAGGCACCATGGTATTGCCAGGGTAGGCATGTATTTTTCCTCTTATCCCTGGATTGCAATGGAATGACAACTTTCTCTTAGCCCATAAAATACTTGCCCACCACAACATCTACAAAATTTAACAACACTATTAAATTCTGAAGTAAAGTCTTACATTTAGGCAAGAAAAACGAAAAGTACACATATAGATTGGGTGAAACCAGGCTTAATAGCAGTAACTGTGAGAGGGATCTTGGAGTCTCAGTGGACAACCAATTAAATATGAGTCAGTAGTATGCGACGGCAGCCAAATGAGCAATTTCAATCCTAAATTGCATTAACAGATGGATACAATCAAGATCAAGTGAGGTACTAATACTACTCTATAAAGCCTTAGTAAGACCACACCTAGAGTACTGCATCCAGTTTTGGTCACCACACTATAGAAAAGATGTTGAGACTCTAGAACAAGTGCAGAGAAGAGCAACCAGAATGATCAGGGGACTGGAGGCTAAAATATACAATGAATGGTTGCAGGAACTGGGCATGGCTAGTCTAGTGAAGCGAAGGACCAGGGGAGACATGATAGCAATGTTCCAATATTTGAGGGGCTGCCACAGAGAGGAGAGGATCAAGCTATTTTCCAAAGTACCTGAAGGCCAGACAAGGAATAATGGATGGAAACTGAACAAGGAGAGATTCAACCTGGAAGTAAGGAGAAATTTTCTGACAGTGAGAACAATCAACTAATGAAACAGCTTGCCTTCAGAAGTTGTGGGAGCTTCATCACTGGAGGCTTTCAAGAAGAGACTGGACTGCTATCTGTCAAAAATGTTGTAGGGTCTGCTTGGGCAGGGGGGTTGGACTAGATGACCTACAAGGTCCCTTCCAACTTTGTTAATCTGTATAAACCAGCCATTTCAAAACCACAGCAATAGAAGCCATTCAAGTACATCTCTGCACAGCAACCCAGCCTGGGACCTTATGGCTAAGTCTCAGCTAATGAGAACAAGGTTAACAACAGTGTATGGGCTGGGCGCTTTTCCGTTTGACTTTTCATAATGAAGTTTGGGAACAGAAGATTGGAGAACAATGGTTACAAACAGATGTGAAAATAATTGCCAACCACTAGGAAGTGAGTGCAGATGATTCCCTTCAAAAATAATCCATACTAAAGACTGAGTATAATAAATATGTGATATCAGGCTAGCTGCCATTAGTATTGCAAGTAGTGATCTGCTAGTTTCTGGTACTTGTAATCTGTTATTTGAAAACCAGAAGTAAAATGTCCAATCAGTAAACACTATCTAATAAAACTATAACACAAATGTTCGACTCCAAGAATATTACTATAGGATAACAGCACTATTTAATATCCAGGATGCAAATAATATTGAAAGTTGCACGTATACATAAACTGATAAATGTGTTGCCATAGTATTGTGTTTCCTATAAATATAGTAAGTAATAATGTTAATATTTAATATTAATTAATTATTAATATTTAATAATAATAATAATAATATACAAATAAAAGGAGAATAGTAGAAAATCAGAACCTGTAGGAGATGAGCAATCTGAGCTGTAAGGCTGAGTTAAATGTGTCATCAGTTTGAAGTCATTGTGTTTCCAGTCCCTCTTTCAGAGAATTCAGAATAACAGAGTTGTAAGGGATCTTGGAGGTCACCTAATCCAATCCCCCTTATCAAGCAGGAGACCCTATAACATTCCAGACAAATAGCTGCCCAATCACATCTTTAAAACCTCCAGGGATGGTGCAGCCACTGATCTATAGAGGCGTCTTTAGGGAAGAAGTTGAAACAGTTTATGTCCAGGATGTGAGAGGTCTGTAGATATTTTCTCAGCCCTTTTTCTTGTTCGTGCAATATACAGATCCTCAATTGAAGGAAGGCTGATTGTGATTGTTTTTTCTGTTGTTCTATCTGTTGAAGTCTGTTTGGTTGTTGTACCGAACCAGATAGTTATTGAGATACAAATGACAGACTCAACCCACCCACCCTCGTTCGGGACTTAATCCTGGAGGAGGGGGCCGACCTGGCATGCATAACTGAGACCTGGCTGGGCCGGGGGGGGGGGGTTCCCCTCTCACGATGTGCCCAGATGGGTTTCAGATATTGCATCAGCCTCGACTCCAGAGAAGGGGTGGAGGAGTAGCAGCTATTGTCCGAAAGAGCCTTTGTCCTTGCAGGATCCCTGCCCCGGAGATTGTTGGGTGTGAGTCTCTCCTCTTGAGGTTGGACTCAAGGGTTCAGCTCGGCTTGTTGTTGATGTACCTGCCTCCCAGCTGTGTGACAACAGCCCTGCCTGTGCTGCTAGAGGCAGTAGCCGGGTTGGCGGTGGAGTTCCCCAGGCTTATGGTACTGGGGGACTTCAACCTACCATCACTTGGCGAATCCTCAGATGGGGCTCAGGAGTTCATGGCTTCCATGACAACCATGGACCTGACCCAAGTATTTTAGGGTCCGACCCATGAGGGGGACACACGCTCGACCTGGTATTTCTCTCGGGGCAGTGGAGATATGATCTGGAATTAAGAGGTATAGAGATCTCGCCCTTGTCATTGTCAGATCATTTCCTGTTGAGGCTGGACTTTAAGACACCACTCCTCCATCGCAGGGAGGCAGAGCCGATTAAGTGGTTCCTCCCCAGACACCTAATGGACCCTGAGGGGTTTCAGAAGGAGCTTGGGGAGATACCTGACTCCCTTGTCTACAGTCCGGCCGAGACCCTAGTGGCTGCCTGGCATAAGGCAGCATCTGGGGCATTGGACCGGATTGTGCCTTTGCGGCCTCTCAATGGCAGCGGATCCAGGAAAGCTCTCTGGTTTACTGAGGAGCTCCGGGAGATGAAGTGCCAGAAGAGACGTCTAGAGCGACGCTGGAGGACCAGTAAATCTGAATCCGACTGAACACTTTTAAGAGCCTTTGTTAGGACTTACTTAGTGGCGATACGGGTGGCAAAATGTTCACATTTTTCCACACTTATTGCATCCGCTGATTCTTGCCCAACCTCCCTATTTAGGGTAACTCGCTCCCTCCTTAAGGTTGGGGGAACAGAGGAGCCCTTGCAGGGTAGAGCTGAGGAATTTGTACAGTTTCTGTCAGATAAAATCGCTCAGATTTGGATGGACCTGGACTCTGATTGGGCAATACCGACCGAGATGACAGGGGCGGGTCTTAGTCCTATTGTGTGGGAGGAGTTTGAGCCAGTGACTCCTGAGGAAGTGGACAAGGCTGTAGGGGCGATGAGTTCCTCTACTTGTTCGTTGGACCCGTGCCCCTCCTGGCTGGTTTCAGCCAGCAGGGAGATGACATGAGGCTGGCTCCAGGCTTTAGTTAACACGTCCTTGAGGGAGGGGTCCTTCCCGCAGCCCTTAAAGGAAGCAGTTGTAAGGCCCCTCCTCAAGAAATCTTCCCTGGACTCAGCAAAATTTAAAAACTTTTGTCCAGTCTCCAACCTACCCTTTGTGGGAAAGATTGTAGAGAAGGTGGTGGCACTTCAGCTCCTGCGGTCATTGGATGAAACGGATTATCTGGACCATTTTCAATCCGGTTTCAGACCTGGCTATAGCATGGAAATTGCCTTGGTCACGCTGATGGATGATCTCTGGCGAGCCTGAGACAGGGGTCATTCCTCTATCTTGGTGCTACTTGACCTCTCAGCAGTTTTCGATACCATTTACCATGGTATCCTTCTGGGGCGACTAAGGGAGCTAGGAGTGGGAGGCACCATATTGCAGTGGTTCGCCTCCTATCTCTCTGGTCGATCACAGTCGGTGCTGGTAGGAGGACAAAGGTTGACCCGTAGGCCCGTCATCTGTGGGGTGCCTCAGGGCTCAGTCCTCTCTCCCCTCCTATTTAACATCTACATGAAACCACTGGGTGAAATCATCCGACGACACAGGGTGGGATATCAGCAATATGCTGATGATACCCAGCTGTATATCTCCACCCCTCATCAGTTCAGTGAGGCAGTAGATGTGATGTGCCAGTGCCTGGAGGCTGTGAGGATCTGGATGGGAGTCAACAGGCTCAGACTTAACTCAGACAAGACCGAATGGCTCTGGGTATTGCCCCCTAAAGACTATGTTGATTGTCCATCCTTGGTTCTGGGGGGTGAGAAAGTGCCCCCCTCAGAATGGGCTCGCAATTTGGGTGTCCTTCTAGACTCACAGCTGAGACTGCAACAACATCTGACAGCTGTAGCTAGGAGAACTTTTGCACAGGTTTTGTCTGGTGCACCAACTGCAACCCTACTTGGATCAGGAGGCTCTCCTCACAGTCACTCATGCCCTTGTTACCTCACGGTTGGATTATTGCAACGCGCTCTACATGGGGCTATCCTTGAAAAGTTCAGAGACTACAGTTGGTCCAAAATGCAGCCATGCGAGTTATAGTAGGTGCGCCTAGATACACCCACATTACACCAATTCTCTGCGAGCTGCACTGGCTCCCCATTGGTCTTCGGGTGCAATTCAAGGTGTTGGTCATTACCTTTAAAGCCCTATATGGCTCAGGGCCAGGCTATCTTCAAGACCGCCTTCTACCACATAGCTTCCAGCAATCGGTAAGATCCCACAGAGTCGGTCTCCTCCGGGTCCCGTCAGCTAAACAATGTCGGCTTGCGGGCCCACGGGGGAGCCTTCTCTGTGGCTGCCCCAGCTCTCTGGAACCAGTTACCTCCTGAGGTCCGGACCGCCCCCACCCTATTGGCCTTCTGCAAAGCGGTGAAGACCTGGTTCTTCCGGCAGGCCTGGGGCCGTTGATCTCATTATAATGATCTTGCGAGATCCAGCCACGAATTGGAGTGCATGTGTTTTAACGTTTTTAAAGTTTTAAATGTTTTAATGTTTTTGTTTTTAACATTTTTTATGGGATTGTTCGCATTGTTTTATTCTTTGTTGTAAGCCGCCCAGAGTCCCTTGGGAGTTGGGCGGCATAGAAATGCGACAAAATAATATAAATAATAAAATAAATAATTCCTCTGTAGAACTGTATCAGTAGACCTTGGGCAATCTGAGTTTTCTGAGTTGATGTAGTAAAAACATTTATCATCTAAACTTCATCAGATATGTGGAGTATCACTCTGTGAGAAGCAGACAACATACAGCAGCTGTTATTGGGGAGGAAGAAAGCATGGGAGGCAGTACAGTAAGAACATCTTGAGTGACCAAGACAGTCTTGTCTCCCCGCCCCCCATAAAGAAGCTCAGGGCTTCCAGGATATATATATAAATTAATCCTTAATAGAGGGCCATATTGATAACTCAATAGAAGATATGAAGCTGACCTAAGACTTTTCCTATTGTGCACTCAAGCATCAATTCTATTACTGAATATTTTAGTACACTTCTAAGAGATGCTACAGGGGAGTCTTTGTATTTTGTAATTGTTCTTTTGAAGTACTTGTTGCTATCATGTATTATATTTTGATTTGCAATGAGGCTCCCGTAAGAGATTGTTCTGGTATCTTTTTCGGTAACAGCCTGAAGGGATACGGAAAGATATTGTGACTATCATTGAACTGGACCCACGTGCAAAAGGACTCGGTGAGTAATTCTAATTCTTACTCATTAATTCCCATTATACCTTTTACTAAGTCCTGCAGATGGCAAAGTCCTTTCACCCACATGCTTTATTGTTTCCAGAGAAAGGAAAGGATCTTTTTACCATGACAGTTTAAAATAAAAGTTATTTTACTTTTCAAAAGTTATGTTCCTTCCTATTAAGTGCCTATTAAGGTAATTGTGTTGAATTCAATTTACAACTGATTATTAGAAACAATGCCAAAGAGGAACTGAATGTGGAAATAATTTGTATTTTTCTTTTCTTGTAATTTGCTTCATTTTTTTTTTCATTTTTCAGGTGGAACACAGGAACAATTGGTCAAAGCCAATAAATTAAATGATAAGGTGCCTGACACAGAAATAGAAATCAGGATTAGTGTTCAAGGTAAGAACTAGTTATTTGAAATCCAGGCTCCTACACCTGTTAAACAGAGAAAATGAAATAGTCACAAGCCAATTCTTGCTACAATTCACTGGTGCTGGAGATGGACTCCTGGGTAGAACAATATCTCCTTGCCCTTCCGTTCACAAATAGATGGAAATGTAGATCAGAGCCTTCCTCATTGGATTCACAGGTACAATGGATCTGTCCCACTTCTGACATTTAAGTTTATTACTTCTGCCCATCTGATGAGATCAGACCAAATGGGTGTGCTCCAGGTCAGTATAATCTTAAACAGTGTAATCTTGTGAAACCTAAGAAGCATTCCTTCTTTGTTGCAGTGCCTGCCATCTGGAATGACATTCTCCCCAGATCCATGCAGGTCTAACACTAGTGACATTTAAAAAATCATTTAAAAAATTGGTGGTTTTTCTCGTGGAGCCCCTGTAAAAGTTTGGTTTTCTACCAGTATTGAGTTAATCTTCTGGTCAGCTATGTCTTTTTCTATATATATTATTTCTCCTTTTTAACCGCAAGATCACAAACTACCCAGCTTCTATAGATGTTTGACAATTTTTTCAAATTCAGGTGACCTTGTGGCTCAGACTGTTGAAAGCTCAATTGATGGAAGTAAACTCAGCCATCTCATTATCACTCCTTCTGGCTGTGGGGAGCAAAATATGATCCGCATGACTGCACCAGTTATTGCTACCTACTACCTGGACACAACAGAGCAGTGGGAGGCACTCGGCATAAATCGCAGGCCTGAAGCTGTCAAACAAATCATGACTGGTAAGGCAAATTGTCTCCAGACTTGTTTTCTTCAGGGGATAGAAATGTGAGATTCAGTCATTCCTAAAATGAACAAATGTAAGACCCACAGAAGTCAGGAACCCAAGTGTTCTTAAATGTAGGACAGGGTTCTTTTTGTTGTTGTTTTTTCACAAGGTAGGTTTCTGCTAGCTTAGCTAAGGATATCCCTTCTTTAACCTGGAGGGGTGGAGGTGGTCATAGTAACTGCTTAGAAATATTTAAATATGGACTCATTATCATAATATTCTATTAAAAGAAATACATTTTAATCTCTTTTGTGGTAAGTTTGGAAGTATTGTTCTGATATCAAATGTCTGTTTCTCAGTTGTAGAGGAGAGTAATGTATGTTCTATTCACCAGCTCCTTTTGTTGTTGTTGTTAAGGTTGCTTGCTTTCAGAATCTCAATGGCAGAGTGGGATGGTTTTACACTGAGACCAGAACACAAATCAAAACAATTGTGCAAAGGAAAAGCAGCTCCAATGAGACACATAGCAAAGAAAGAAGAGTGTAAAACAGTTTTGGATGCAAGTGTGATTTTGTATGGCTGGAGCTAAATTTCACAGCTCTTTCTATCTTGTCCCTTTTCAGGTTACGCCCAGCAGATGGTGTACAAGAAAGCAGACCATTCCTATGCAGCATTTACAGATCGTGCATCTAGTACTTGGTGTGGACAAAAATATAGCCATTACTTTCAGATCATGGAAAGGCTTTCCTCTAACTTCCTCTATAAATGTTCATATATTTTCATTTTCTAACTTCTGCTGGTGCATCTGAGTCTCTTTCTTTGTATTTTGTTTTTTTCTTTCTTCATTCCTTTCTACTTATCTTTCTCTTCTTCCTAGAAGCTCCTTCCCTGGCTGTGCTTCAGTCCTTGACAAAATCCTCTCTTCTGATAATGGCTTACCCATATAATATGTCTTCCTCTTTTTCCTCTTGTCTTCTTATGTCTAGCATTTAGTATCAATCAGTTCTATTTTTTTTCCTTTAAGATAAGAATGGAAATTTGCTCCCGCTACAATAGAATAGAATAGAATAGAATAGAATAGAATAGAATAGAATAGAATAGAATAGAATAGAATAGAATAGAATAGAATAGAATAGAATAGAATAGAATAGAATAGAATAGAATAGGAAGGGACCTTGGAAGTCTTCTAGTCCAATCCCCTGCTCAAGCAGACAAGTGACTGTCCAGTCTCTTCTTAAAAACCTCCAGTGATGAAGCACCCACAACTTCTGAAGGCAAGCTATTCCACTGGTTAATTGTTCTCACTGTCAGGAAATTTCTCCTTAATTCCAGGTTGCTTCTCTCCTTGATTAGTTTCCATCCATTATTTCTTGTCCTGCCCTCTGGTGCTTTGGAAAATAAGTTGACCTCCTCCTCTTTGTGGCAGCCTCTCAAATACTGGAATAACTGCTATAATGTCCCTCCATGTTTCTTTAGACTAGCCAAACCCAAATCCTGCAACCATTCTTCATATGCTTTAGTCGCCAGGTCTTTAATCATTTTAGTTGCTCTTCTTTGCATTTTTCCCAACATCTCAACATCTTTTTTGTAGTGTGGTGACCAAAACTGGAAGGAGCATTCTAAGTGTAATTCAACTAAGGTTTTATAAAGTAGTACAATACTTCACATGATTTTGCTTCTATGCCCCTGTTTATACAACCTAGGATGGCATTAGCTTTTTTGGCGGCAGCTGCGCACTGCTGGGTTATATTTAAGTGATTGTCCACTAGGACTCCAAGGTGCCTCTCACAGTTACTGTTTTTGAGCCAGGTTTCACCTAATCTATACTTATACTTTTGTGTTTTTTCTGCCTAAATGTAAAACTTCTATTTTCTCCACATTAAAATTCATTTTGTTGGATAGGGCCCATTGTTCAAGTCTGTCAAGATCCTTTTGGATCCTGAGCTTGTTTTGGCTATTCCTGCCAGCTTACTTCTCATCTGCAAATTCCATGAGTTCCCTTTCTATTCTCTCATCTAAGTCATTTATGAAGATATTGAAGAGAACTGGGCCTAAGACAAAACCTTGTGGTACCCCACTGCTTACTTCCCTCCATGTAGATGTAGTACCATTAAGGATTACTCACTGAGTACAGTTTGTCAGCCACTTACAAATCCATATGGTGATGATGCTCTCTATCCCACATTTTTCTAGCTTACCAAGAAATAGGTTGTGGTCTACTTTGTCAAATGCTTTACTGAAATCTAAGTAAACTATGTCCATAGCATTTCGCTGGTCTATTAATTTAATAACTTTGTCTATGAATGAAATAAGATTGGTTTGGCAAGATCTGTTTTTAACAAACCCATGCTGGCTTTTAGTTATAACTTTATTTGTTTCTAGATGTTCGCAGATCTATTTTTTGATTATCTTTTCCAGTATTTTCCCACGTATTGATGTTAGGCTAATTGATCTAGAGTTTCCAGGGTTTGTCCCCCAACCTTTTTTTTTCTAAAGATGGGAACTACATCAGCTCTTTTCCAATCCTTAGGTAGTTCCCTGATGCTCCAAGATTTTTGAAATATATGGTACAACGGTTCTGAGATAACATCTGCCAGCTCCTTCAGAACTCTTGGATGTAATCCATCAGGTCCTGGAGATTTATATTCATCAAGATCAGACAGGTGTTCTCTTGCCATTTTTTTGCTTATTTTAATTTTTATTTATTTTAATTCTTTTATTTCAGTCTGTTACAGTATTTTTTTTAGTAGGTTGGGCTATAGTTTCTTTAGACTGATGCAAAGAATGAGGTAAGCAGCTCTGCTTTTTGTCTACTGCCTGTTACTTCCTTGCCATTTTATCTCTTTAATGGACCAATTGTTTTCTGGACTTTTTTCTGGTTATTAATAACTTTTGTTGCAAACTTTTGTTCATTCTGAGGCTTTGTTTTCCTGACTTCGTCTTTGCAGATTCCAGCCTATCTGCTGATATTCTGCCTTAGTTGTGTGCCCCTCTTTCCCTTTTTTTATATTTAATATTTTCAGGACAACTTTAGTTTTCAGTTTATCAGAGAGATCTTTGTGCAACCATGCTGGTATGTTCTTGGATTTCTAATTTTTCTTTTTCAGTGGTATTTTTTTAAATCAAGTTTTTAGGTTCAGTATAGCTTTTCCTCTAGTTCCCTCCTCTACCTTTTGGATGACAAAGTTGTTGGCTAGGTTTGTTAGGAATCTGTTTGATATCCCATTTGCTGCAGAGTTCGTTTCCCAGTTGATAGCAATGGCAATAGCACTTAGACTTATATACCACTTTACAGTGCTTTACAGCCCTCTCTAAGTGGTTTACAGAGTTAGCGTATTGCCCCCAACAATTTGGGTCCTCATTTTACCCACCTCAGAAGGATGGAAGGCTGAGTCAACCTTGAGCCTGGTAAGATTTGACCTGCCAAATTGCAGGCAGCCAGCAGTGGGATTGAGTTGTTATTGTTGTTTTTATTAGATTTTTATTGCACCTTTTTTCTCATTGGTTAGCTCAAGGCAATGAACATATTTAATATCCCTGCTTTCTATTCCCCACAACAGCAACCCTGTGAGGTGAATTGGGTGAGTGAGGGTGACTGGCCCAAAGTCACCCAGCTGGCTTTCATGCCTAAAGGAGGCCTAGAATGCACAATCTCCTGCTTTCTAGGCCAGCACCTTCAGTACTACTCCAAAGTGGCTCTCTGAATAGATAATTATACTATTTCAGTGGGGAGCTAGCCTCTGAAAGTACTCAGTTCCACTGACTATTATTAACCAATATAAAGCAAATGATAAGAATTCATCTTTGATAGTCATGAGAACTGAATTAAGGAATTCTCATCTTCTTAACTCTTATCCTGCATTTCTTCTAAAGCTCTAGTTCCTATGTACTGTTGTGATATAACAACATTATAATTCCTCTTACACTGACTCGGATGCACTATTTCTCTTGATACGGCTTTGATTTGGTTGGTTGAGCTTTTTTTCCTTCCTAGGTTGAAGGAAAGATGAGGGTGACAGATTTTAATTTTGATTGTTTCCCATCATAAGAACAATATTGCCCTAGAGGCAAGCACAACTTCTATGGTTGTTGTGCCATAATGTAATATTGTGGTGACTCTGGACAAGCCACTCTTCCCCTTTCCCTCCTAGCTAGCAGAAAGCTAGTCATATTTGGCTTACAAAATCAAGCAAGCAACTACTGGTACTTGCATTAAAATCTTCATTGAAATTGTTGGTTAATGCATTACATTCTTTACAGGCTAACAGCATATGTTGTAAAAGTCTTTGCCCTGGCTGCCAAAATTGTAAAAGACATTAGCCATGAAATCATTTGTGGAGGTGTGAGGTGGTTGATTCTGAACAGGCAACAACCAGACGGAGTGTTCAAAGAAAATGCCCCTGTACTTTCTGGGACAATGCAGGTATGGTTTCCTCCCTTCCTTCTTTCCTTGCTACCTTCCAATAAATCCAGGGGTTTTTGAGTTCTTAACTGAAAAAGACCCAAGCTCAGGTATTAGAGAAAAGATTGTACTGTATAAGATAGTTCGTTGCTAGCTTCTACTCTAATGACATTGGTTATTAGAATTCAGATAGGACATAAGGATAGCAATAGCACTTAGACTTATATACCGCTTCACAGTGCTTTACAGCCCTCTCTAAGCGGTTTACAGAGTCAGCATATTGCCCCCAACAATCTGGGCCCTCGTTTTACTGACCTCAGAAGGATGGAAGGCTGAGTCAACCTTGAGCCGATGAGAATCGAACTACCTAACTGCTGTTTGCTGTACTGCATTCAAACAACTGTGCCAACACGGTGCTACCATTACCAAAGGTAGCCTTGGGAATAGACTAGACTAGACTAGACTAGACTAGACTAGACTAGACTAGACTAGACTAGACTAGACTAGACTAGAATAGACTAGAATAGAATAGAATAGAATAGAATAGAATAGAATAGAATAGAATTCTTTATTGGCCAAGTGTGATTGGACACCCAAGGAATTTGTCTTGGTGCATACGCTCTCGGAGTACATAAAAGAAAGGATACATTCATCAAGAATCATATGGTACAACACTTAATGATAGTCATAGGGAAACAGTCAATATAAATCTTAAGGATATCAGCAACAAGGTTACAGTCATACAGTCATAAGTGGGAGGAGATGGGTGATAGGAATGATGAGAAGATTAATAGTAATGCAGGCTTAGTAACTAGTTTGACAATGTTGAGGGAATTATTTGTTTAGCAGAGTGATGGCTTCGGGGAAAAATTGTTCTTGTGTCTAGTTGTTCTGATACACAGTGCTCTATAGCGTCGTTTTGAGGGTAGGAGTTGAAACAGTTTATGTCCAGGATGCGAGGGGGTCTATAAATATTTTCACAGCCCTCTTTTTGACTCGTGCAGTATACATGTCCTCACTGGAAGGCAGGTTGGTAGTAATTGTTTTTTCTGCAGTTCTAATTATCCTCTGAAATCTGTGTCTGTCTTGTTGGGTTGCAGAACCTAACCAGACAGATATAGAGGTGCAGATTTGGCTTAATGAGAGAATAGATCTCATAGACGAATTTGAAGATGAAATCTGCTTCAAAGGCAAAAAAAGAAAAACTTACAGCAGAGAAAACAGTAACATAGAAACAATAACAGATGAGGCTCTAGAGAAGAAATTTAGGAGCAAATCTACACAGCCTCCACGCCCTGGTACAAGATAGTCCACTCGACATTTCCTGAGCACATATCTTCATGCCTCCATTTGTAACGTAGTCTCTCCATAGTTGAGACAACATTGATCTTTGTAATATTTTACTTTAGGATGCTGCCTAAAGAAGCAAGAACAATGTAATATTGTTAGGGTAGTTTAGAGCTACAACATGGCTACATAAAGTTGAATGGTTTCCTCAAACTTCAACTCTTCAACAACACTGTATCTTGAATGGACAAACATGGATGGCCATTAGATAGCAGCCAAGAGATTCAAAAAACCCTTAACTCTGCTGCTTCCCTATGTATCCCCTATGTATAATTACAGAGTAATATTTATTTATTAGCATTACTTTTGTCTTTTTGTCGTCCCCCCCCCCGTTTTCTTATAGGGAGGACTTAAAGGTGCTGAACCAGATGTATGTTTAACAGCATTCGTTCTGGTTGCGTTGTTGGAATCCAGATCAATCTGCAATGAATATATCAATGTATGTGATGTTATGATGGGAAGTGGTATAAGAGGGCCAAAATAAGATCACATCCCTTAGGGGTTTTTTGATCCATTTTCACAACTTCTTGGGCCCGGTATTAGAAGCTTTCAGGCTCTCCAAATAGCCTAACCAGCATTACTATAGTTTATACTTTATTAATTTTAAATCAAATGAAACCAAGATAAATAATCAATTCAATAAGGATACTATTAGGAAATTACACATATACTTTCAAGCCAGCAAGGTATTTAGACCAGTTAATGACCTTTAGTTTAGTTTAGTTTAGTTTATTCATACTTATATGCCGCCCTTCTCCCGAAGGACTCGGGGCGGCTCACAAAGATAAAACAACGGAACAATAAAATTAATACTAAAATAATCCAATTAACATCTCCAAGAAGTTAAAACTAAGACTCCCAGCATATCAGGCAATTTGTTGGAAAAACCATGTCTTCAGGTCACCGCGGAAAGAGCGAAGGTTGGGGGCCATCCGGAGCTCAGTGGGTAACCCATTCCAGAGGGTCAGTGCGCCCACAAAGTACGCCCTTATCCTGGGTGCCATCAGCCGACATTGTCTGGCTGAAGGCACCCGGAGGAGGGCAGTCCTATGTGAACGCACTGGGCGGTGGGAGGCTGGTAGGAGGTGATCCTACAAGTACCCTGGGCCTGTGCCATGGAGGGCTTTATAGGTAAATACCAGCACCTTTTTTAAAAAAAAAATGATTTATATGCCGCCCTTCTCTGGAGACTCAGGGCGGCTTACAATGCGTTAAGCAATAGCCTTCATCCTTTTGTATATTTATACAAAGTCAGCTGATTGCCCCCACAACTGGGTCCTCAATTTACCTACCTTAGAAAGGATGGAAGGCTGAGTCAACCTTGAGCCTGGTGAGATTCGAACCTGCAGTAATTGCAGGCAGCTGTGTTAATAACAGACCACTGTACTACCAAGGCTCTTGAAGCGGATCCGAAGGACCACCGCAGTGATCCTACAAGTACCCTGGGCCTGTGCCATGGAGGGCTTTATAGGTAAATACCAGCACCTTGAAGCAGATCCGAAGGACCACCGCAGTGCAGTGCTGCAACCAGTGCAGCTCGCGCAGGAGTGGTGTAACACAAGAGTAGCCGGAAGCTCCTGTAACAACCCGCACGGCCGCATTCTGGACCAGCTGGAGCCTCCAGGTGCACCACAAGGGCAGCCCCATGTAGAGGGCATTGCAGTTATCCAAACGCAAGAAAACGAGAGCATGAGTGACTGTAGAGAGGGCATCCCTGTCTAGGAAAGGGCGCAAACCTGTGCAAAAGCCCCCCTTGTCACGGCCGTCAGATGGTCCACCAAGGACAGCCGTGAATCTAGGAGGACGCCAAGATTGCGAACCTTTTCAGAGGGAGTAAGCAACTCCCCCCCCCCAAATCTGGAGTGATGGGGGTGCTAGACCATGAGATGCCGGCATCCACAGCCACTCAGTCTTGGACTTTGACTTTTAAATATCAAAGAGACTTTTCACTGCTGCAGTGTAATTTTCATCAACATCATCCCTCAAATTTAGAGGAAGATTTAAAAAGATCTATGCAGAAATGGTTTCTGCAAGCGGATCATGCAGTATTGCAGCTTTTACAGTGGAACCCTATTTAAGACATTCCTAATGAATTTATGTTCAACATCTCTTCCTGCATAAAAACCTTAAAATAACACATATGATGGCTAAATTTGCATTATTAGCATGTAAAACATAGAAGCAGGAAGTGGCAGGACATATTTATTTTATTTATTTATTATTTATTGAACAAATCTATATTGCTGTCCAATTTACAGGTAGTTGACCCTGGCCAGCTTACAAGATTTAAAAATCTACCACCATAAAAAAAACCCTAATTTATCTGCTCCCCTCATTCCAATCCCATGGCAGCAGCAGCACAATCAAATCAACCATTTGATCGGCTCCATCTCCATTTGTGGTCCGCAGGCCCAATGACGAAACCATGTTTTTAGGGCCTTTTCAAAAAGCAACAGAGTGGGGACCAATCATACCTCAGGGAAATGGTGTTCCGTAGAGATGCCTAAAACATTCCTAATGGATCTCTTCTGTTCCCTCTCCCCTCACTTCCAGAGTCTAGACAGCAGCATCAACAAGAGTGCAAATTATTTACTCAAAAGGTATGAGAAACTGCAAAAACCTTACACTACGGCCCTCACAGCCTATGCTTTGGCTGCTGCAGACAGTCTGGATGACAGCAGGGTACTCATGGCGGCATCGACAGGTACATATATAGCTTTGTTATAGGTACGCTAAGAAGCAGAATGAAGTAATCCAGTGGTGGGTTGCTCCTGGTTCGGTCCGGTTCTTGCAAACCAGTAGTAACAGCGGCGGGAGGCTCCGCCCATCTGCCCAGACATCATCATGAATGATCTGCGCATGCACAGAAGCACAAGCGCAAGCGCTCGCTTCCGTTGTGAACCAGTAACAGAGGTGAGTAGAACGATGGACAGATTTTTAGATTTTATTTTTATTTTATTTTGAATTTATATACCGCACCTTCTCTCGAAAGACTCAGGGCGGTGTACAGCCAGATAAAAACATACAATACAAACATTAAAAAACAATTAAAAGGATATATATTAATTTGGCCCCAGATTTAAGATAACAAACCAATTAAAAATTAAAAATATGTTAAAAAATATGTTAAGCCAGCCCGACTTGCTGAAAAAAGAAAGTTTTAAGGGCACGACGGAAGGCACCGAGGTCTTGGATTCTCCTTATCTCTGGGGGCAGCTGATTCCAGAGGGTAGGTGCCCCCACAGAGAGGCCCTCCCCCTGGGGGTCACCAGCCTACATTGTTTGGCTGATGGCACCCTGAGGAGGCCCTCTCTGTGGGAGCGCACAGGTCGGTGGGAGGTCATCGGTAGCAGCAGGCGGTCTTGAAGATAACTAGGTCCTATGCCATGGAGCGCTTTAAAGGTGGTAACCAACACCTTGAAGCGCACGCGGAAGACCACTGGGAGCCAGTGCAGCTCACACAGGAACCGTGTTATATGGGAGCGCCAGGCGGCTCCTGTGATTACCTGCGCGGCTGCATTCTGGACCAGTTGGAGATATTGCAGTGACAAAAAAAAACAACCCAGAGCCACATGCAAATGGATATCTCTTTGCTTCTAGCTGCTTTCTCAAGAAGAAGAAGAAATCAGTAATAATAGTTGCAATCTCTTTTTTCCCACAGGCTACCAGTTGTACAGGTTTATTGTTGAATTGATCTTCCAAAATTTGTGTCCTACCCATAAGTCCCTGCTGAACTCTTTGTCAAATATGCCCTTCTAAGTATATAGCTTTTGAAAGCTAAATGTATTTGCACCTATTATGTTTAGCAAAGGAGACTAGAGAAAAAACGGAAATAAATTGTTGATTTTAATTATGCATATTTATTATTTTAAAATATTTTGCTCTGATCTTTATCAATAAGTTTGCAATTTAAATATATGCAATTTATTTACCTAGTAAATATTTATGTTTATATTGCATTTTTAGTGATTTTCATAGTCATATCTTGTTTGATGACTTTCTATGTAGTTATTTCTCTTGCGTTGAATGTAACAGATGATAAATCACCACAATATTTTGGGATATACTCCTAACCAACTTTTACTTATATTGAAAAGTTAAACAGGATCTTAGAACATAGAATAATAGAGTTGGAAGGGACTGTGGAGGTCTTCTAGTCCAACCCCCTGCTTGGGCAGGAGAGACTTTATACCATTTCAGATAAGTGATTTCCTAGTCTCTTTTTGAAAACCTCCAGTGATGGAGCACACACAACTTCTGAAAGCAAACTATTCCATTGGTTGATTGCTCTCCTTAGAACTAAAAAATTTCTCCTTAGTTCTAGCTTGCTTCTCTCCTTGGTTAGTTTCCATCCACTGTTTCTTGTCTTGCCTTTTGGTGCTTTGAAAAATAGTTTGATCCCCTGTCTTTGTAGGAGTCCCTCAAATATTGGAACACTGCTATCATAATCCTTCTTTTTATTAGACTAGATCGGGTGTCAGCAACCCACAGCTCCGGAGCCGCATGGGGCTCTTTGGGCTCTCTGCTGCGTCTCCCTGTCCCATCACTTGTTGGCCCCGCCCCTTACCCTCCCCTCCCTCACCTGGCCTGAGAAGGTAAGGGCGATGGCGGGGGATGGAGAAGCTGCCAGGGATGATTCTCCAGCGCCTCACTCTTGTGGAGTTTCTTCTGGCCCTTGTTGGTGCTTAGGCGTGCCTCAGTTGCCTTGGGGAGACAAGCAACCTGCCCTCCGCCCCGAGACACTGGCCTGGCCCGGCCACGACCAATGCCAGCCTCGCTAACACGAGGGCTGGCGGGGTGGGAATGGGATCTGGGAGGAGGGAACGTCAGAAAGGGGGATGGGCCAGCAGTGCCCAGCCACAGTTTTAAGAGGTTCAGGGCAGTGGGAAAAGGAAGCTGGCCCCTCCGAACCTCACACGCCCACCCCGGTTGTCAGGCTCGGAGAAAGCCCTCACCAAAGACGCTTGCCTATCAGCCAATCTACCCCTCTCTCTGTGTGTCTTTCTCTTTCTGTGTATCTCTCTCATGCTCTCTGTCTCTCTGTCTCTTCTCTCTCTCTTGGAAAGCCGCAGCTGGGCCAGGCCAGTAAGCTCCCCTTGGGGTGCTTCGCTACTCCTTTTATTTCTTCTTTTTGGAAATCTGGGATGGCTAAGAAACGATTGCCAGCTGCAGTGGAGGCTTCCCTTCAGGTGACCCTCCTCCTCCCCCTCCTTCTCCTCTAGCAAACCCCTGGCCAGCTGAGAGATACAGAGGGAGAGAGAGACATATGGGGGGGGGGGGGGGGAGGAGGAGAGAGATAGAGAGGGGGGAGAGAAGGGAAGATAGGGAGAGACACAGAGAGATAGGGTGAGGGGGAGAGAGAGGAAGAGTGAGATATACAGAGAGAGGGGGGAAGAGAGGGGGAAAGAGATACAGAGAGAGAGAGAGATACAGAGAGGGGGGGAGAGAGAGGGGAAGATAGGGAGAGGGGAGAGAGAGGGAGAGAGGGGCAGAGAGATACAGAGAGGGGGAGAAAGAGGGAGTGGGGCAGAGAGATACAGAGAGAGATACAGAGGGGGGAGAGGGGGGAGAGAGTGTGTGGTTTTGTGGTTGGGTAGGCATGGTCATGTGACTGGGTGGGAGTGAGTGACATCGAGTTGCCACGCCCACCCAGGTTTTGTGGCTCCCAGTGTTTTTTTTTTTTCTGTGGGAAATGGCTCTGAGTGTTTAAGGTTACAGACCCCTGGACTAGACATACCCAATTCCTGTAACCATTCTTGCTATTTTAGCCTCCAGCACCTTAATCATTCTTAGCACTTGATGGGATTCCTTTAGGAAATTGCAGAGTTATAGGCAAATCTGGGAAGTAAAAAACATCCAGAAGAAGGCAGAAGAAGGCTGTGGCAAATCATTTCTGTATTTTTACCAGAAAATCTATAGCACTGTTTCTACACAATTACCCAGAGAGTTTCAGCTTTAGAAAATGTTTACTTTTTTTAGTTTCCAAATTCTATACTGTAGGAAGAAAGCTGTGTTAGTCTATGATGGCAAAATATCAAGGGACTGTTTTCATTAAACTTTGATTAAAAGGCACAAACATTCGTGAGCTACAGCTCATTTCATGAGATGCATGGAGTGGCTAAATGGGTTTAAAGAGCTGGAGTGAGAAAAGAGAGAGGAAGACAGACTGATTATACAGATGCAGGTGACATTTGAGACATGCTTTGTTTTTTTGTTTATAATATTTATATGCAGTGGTGGGATTCAATTTTTTTAACAACTGGTTCTATGGGCGTGGCTTAGCTGGGGGTGTGGCTTGGTGGTCATGTGACCAGGTAGGCATGGCTAGCTGGTCATGTGACCAGGTGGGCATGGCTATGTGCATAGGGACTACTCAGAGGGCTGAAAAAAGTCATTTCTGACTGGTCCTCGCACTTATGACCATCCTCACATTTATGCCCGTTGCGGCATTCTTTTTTTTTTTTTATTGAAAAGTTTTACAAAAAGTTTACATATTTTCCCCCCCCTTCCCTACCTCAACCTCCCCCCTCCCCCCCTCCCCTTCCCAGAACAAATTACAGGGTATAAACTTCAACAATCATAATCAATCCTAATCTAAACAATTATGACATTTCACATCTCTTGTTTCTTCAATTCCCTAATTACCGGCCTAGCTTTATTACTTAAAGACACACTAAATATCTATATAATCATTCATAACCTATCTGCAATTTCTTATTCCGATATTTATTTTGAATATAATCTATCCACCTTCTCCAGTCTCTTAAATATCTTTCATTTGAATGATCCTTCAGGTACGCCGAGATTTTTGCCATTTCCGCTAGATTTATAACTTTCATTGTCCACTCTTGGATTGTAGGTAAATCTTGCTTCTTCCAATATTGTGCCACCAACAGTCTTGCTGCAGTTATTAAATTCAAAATCAATTTAGTCTCTATAACTGTACAATCCGTAACTATACCCAAAAGAAACAGCTGTGGTGTAAATTTCAACCTCTTTTTAAGAATATTTTGTAAAATCCACCAGATTTTAATCCAAAACGCTTTAACCTTTTTACATGTCCACCAAATGTGAAAATAAGTAGCATCCTCACAATTACATCTCCAACATTTTGGTTGTACATTCGGATACATACGAGATAACTTTTTTGGATCTAGATGCCATCTATAAAACATTTTATAAAAGTTCTCCCTTAAATTTTGCGCTTTGGTAAATTTCACATTTGTTACCCATATTTTCTCCCACGTTTCCATCATTATTGACTGTTCAAAATTCTGCGCCCATTTTATCATACAGTCCTTAACTAGCTCTGTTTCCGAGTCCATCTCTATCAGTATATTATACAATCTTTTTATATGCATTGGGCTTTGATCTCTAATTTGTTTAATTAAATTTTCATCACTTTGTATAACACCAGTTTTCTGGTCTTTTCTCCATCTGGCTTGTAATTGTACATATTGAAACCATGTTTGAATTATTTTCTCCTCTTTCAACACATTCACAGATTTTAATTTTAATATACCTCCCTCCATAATGAGAATATCTTTATACGTAATTACATCCTGTCTACATTCTATACTCGTATTCTCTATTGCGTGCCTGGGTGCTGTCCATATAGGTATTTTTTCATTTAACTTATATTGATATTTCTTCCAGACACGCAATAAAGCATTTCTCAGTATATGACTCTTAAATGCTCTGTCCACCCTTTTTTCATACACTAAATAAGCATGCCAACCATAAACCAGATCATACCCTTCAATATTCAATATCCTTCCATTTGTTAAATTAATCCAATCACTAATTGCTGATAAAACAGCTGCTTCATAGTACAATTTTAAATTTGGCATTTTCAGTCCTCCTCTTTCTCGTATGTCCTGCATTATTTTCAATTTTATCCTTGGTTTCTTACCTTGCCATACGAACTTATTAATACCTTTCTGCCACTCTTCCAGGTTGGCATCCTTTTTTAGTATTGGTATCATTTGAAAGAGGAACAAAAACCTAGGCAACACATTCATTTTTATAACTGCTATTCTACCCAGCAAGGAGAATTGTAGTTTTTTCCATTTATCCATTTCAACTTGTATTTTATGCCATATCAATTCATAATTATACTTATACAATTTACCATTAGAAGATGCAATATAAACTCCTAAATACTTGACTTTTTTAACTATTTCACATCCCGTTACCCTTTGTAACTCCTCTTTTTGATTAGCTGTCATATTTTTAACTATCATCTTTGTTTTTCCAATGTTTATCTTAAACCCAGATATTTGACCATACTGTTTTATTATATCAATCAAAACCTTTGTTGATTCCACTGGATGAGTTAAGGTCATAACCAAATCATCTGCAAATGCCCGTATCTTATATTCATAATCTCTAACTTTGATTCCCTTTATCCCATCTGCATTACGTATTTTATTTAACAGCAACTCCAAAGTTAATATAAATAATAATGGCGATAAGGGACATCCCTGCCTCATGCCTTTTTCAATTTTAAAAGTTTCTGTCAAACTGCCATTAATAATTATCTGAGCTGTCTGTTCCTGATATATTGCTTTTATGGACTGCATAAAGCAATTCCCAAATTGCATCCTATTGACCACTCTCAATAAAAATTGCCAATCTAATCGATCAAAAGCTTTTTCCGCATCCAGAAATATAAGCACCGCAGGGATTTGGTTATTCCTTTCCAAATGTTCCAATATGTCCAATATGCGGCATTCTTAACAACCGTGTCAGTCATTTCACCACTACTTCTCTTCACCAAGGTGACAAGATAGGGTGTAAAACGTAAAATGTGAGGACAGTCATAAGTTCAAGGACTGGTCAAAAGTGCAAGGACCAGTCAAAAATAACTTTTTCAGCCTTCTGACTAGTCCATATGCACATAGGGACTATTCAGAGGGCTGAAAAAGTCATTTCTGACTGATCCTCACATTTTTGACCGGTCCTCGCACTTATGACCTTCCTCACATTTATGCCCGTTGCGGCATTCTTAACAACTGTGTCAGTCATTTCACCACTACTTGTCTTCACCACGATGACAAGATAGGACGCAAAACGTAAAATGTGAGGACAGTCGTAAGTTTGAGGACTGGTCAAAAGTGCGAGGACCAGTCAAAAATAACTTTTTCAGCCCTCTAAGTAGTCCATATGCACAAAAGGACTACCCAGAGGGCTGAAAAAAGTCATTTCTGACAGGTCTTCGCACTTTTGACCGGTCCTCACCCTTATGACTGGTCATCATTTATGCCCATTGTAGCATTCTTAACAACTGTGTCACTCATTTCACAACTGCTTCTCTTCACCATGGTGACAAGGTAGGGCGCAAAACGTAAAATGTGAGGACAGTCGTAAGTTCGAGAAGTGGTCAAAAGTGCGAGGAGCAGTCAAAAATAACTTTTTCAGCCCTCTGAGTAATCCATATGCACAAAAGGATACAGCAATAGAGAGGGATGAAAGAAGGAGAGAGAGGGAAGGAAGAGAAGGGAGGAAGGAAGGGAAGAGAAATTAGAGTAGGAGTGAGGGTAAGAGAGGGAGGAAGAGAGGAGGAGAAGGGGAAAGGAAGAGGAAGTAGGGAGGAGAATAAGCGGCGGGGGAGAAAGAAAGTAAGAAGGAAAGAAAAGAGGTGGTAGGTTTGAGGAGAAAGATTGCTGTACAGTAAAAAAGATGAAATGGAAGAAAGGCAACCCCAAACAAATATAAAGATATTAAGATAAAGAATGAATTGTTAAACTTTAAAAAATAATAGAGAACAAATATGAATAAATAGCAATAATTAGAAGCACACATACAAACATACAATTTATTTTCTTTGAACAGAGTATTTGGCCGGTTCACAAATTTAAACAGTGTTTAATCATTTCAATTAAATTTCTATATTTCTATACAATTTCTATATTTCCTTTTTGCCATATTTATTCCTTATATATTTTTTTAAAAAACCAATATTACCCTTCATCCTCATCTCTAATCTTAATCAAATTCAATTTTTCCCTTCTATTCTATATTATACCCCTTCCCATTGTCATCTATTTTTATATCCATCCTCACATTGGTTAATTATGCAATATTACAGTTGTTTAATATAAATTCAACATTTTAATATAAAACAATTAGTTATATAACTATCTTTTTTGTATATTAATCAATATGAACGTGAATATTCCAATTATTTCCATGCAATCCAATTTCTTACAAATCAATTAATTATATTTACCAATAATAATAAATCAAATAATTTCCCCCATATATTCCTCCAAACCACAACTTAACCATTTCTGCTTTCAACACAATATACAATTAATAGTATCTCAATTATTACAATTCCCTAGTTAAATAGAGCTTTTTTTTCTTTTGTGTTTTAAAATCTTGAACTCTCCTCTTTTTCCCTAAATTTCCCATTGTTTGCACCTACCTTTTTTGGTGAGGAAAAAGAAAAGACATCTGCCTGCCTAATTTTCCAACGTTGTAGCAACAGCAAAGCCAACAGCCTGCTTTACTTTCAGTTTCATTTTTCAGCATAGCTAGGGAGAAAAAAAATCTGCTCCAGCACTCTTTGCAAGGAAGCAGCAGAGCCCTGAGCAAAACAGCTGAGAGCAAATCAGCTGAGAGTCGGGAGGCCGATCTAATCAACGGGCTAATTAGCCTATACTGAAGCTCCGCGGGCCAATAAAATTACAAAAAAACACTGAACCGTTTGTTAAATTGCTGGCTCGCCCGCCCCTCGCCCACCACTATTTATTGGCAATAAATAGTGGTGCAGAGGGGTGGGGCAAGGGGTGGGGTGAGCCAGCAGTTTAACAAACGGTTCAGCCGAACCGCCTAGAACCGGCAGAATCCCACCACTGTTTATATGGCCATCCTTCAATGAAATAGAACTCTGGGCAGTTCACCACAATAATAAAAGCCAAAACAACAGTAAAAGGAACACTTGGGACTTCAACCAACATTCTCTGGTCCACTAAGAAATAGAATCCCCTGGATCCTCCTGCAGTGCCTGGGAGGAAAGCCAAGCCTTTTCAGCTTTCCGAAAGGCTAGAAGGATGGGGGCCTGCCAGATGCCAGGGAATGAGCGTTCTGCAGGGTGGGCACTTTTATGGAAAAGATACTTTTTCTAGGTCCCGCTAGATGGTGATATTTAAGGGAAGGAAGCTGGAGCAGGCCAACCCTATCCAATCTGGTGGAATGGCAGATACCCTCAGGGAGATACCCTCAGGAAGAGGCAGTCCTCCAAATCACTTGGCCATGTGCCATGTATATTTTAAAGGTGATAACCATCACCTTGTATTGAATACAGAAAGAAAATGGACCCAGTGCAATTTACATGACAAACAATATGATAAGGGCAAAGCAAAGCACCTGAAACTGCAACACCACTGAATTCTGGAGCAGTTGTAACTTCTGGGTGACCTTCAAAGATAGAGCACATTGAGGTAGTCCAGTTGGGAAGTGACCTAGGCAGGAATGACCACGAGCAAGGCCTCCCAATCCAGGAATGGGCACAATTACTGCACAAGATGGATCTATGCAAAGGCCCCTCTAGTCACAGCTGCCACCTGCTCTTCAAGCAGGAGCCACATATTGAGGCTCCTCCCAAATTGCACACAATCTCTGTCCAGGAAAGTGCTACCTCACTGAGAGTCAGAGATAGCATTAATAGACGTAGGAGAAACAGAAACCAATCATTCCCCATCTAGACACTCACAGCCCCCAAGCATTGAGTCAGTACCAGAGCAGCAGCACCTGCCCAGCCAGGGGTGGATGAGAGAGAGAGAGAGAGAGGGAGGGAGGGAGGGAGGGAGGGAGAGAGAGAGAGGGAGAGGGAGAGGGAGAGAGAGAGAGAGAGAGAGAGAGAGAGAGAGAGACTAACTGTAGAGAGTAAGCAAGGTGACTTTGATGGAGACATGTCAATATTGGTATAAGTAATCTTAGCCTTTCTGTCGAATTGATTCTTCATCTGATCTACCTGGTAAAGCTGATTATAACTGGGTATTATCAGCAACTCCATGCCATTGAGTAACCTCATCCAACCAGTCATATCTGCTTTCTTGAAAAATGGGAGACTTAATCAATTGTTAATTTTCCCAATCTTTTCACTTCAATCAAAAGTCACCTTCAAGGTAAGTAACCAATATTTTTATCTGTTTGGCTTAATTCTGTTTCTGTGTTGTTTTTTTAGGAAGGAATCGTTGGGAAGAACATAATGCTCACACCCATAACATTGAAGGCACTTCCTATGCCTTGTTGGCCCTGCTGAAAATGAAGAAATTTGATGAGGCCGGTCCTGTAGTCAAATGGCTGATAGAGCAGAAATATTATGGGGGAACCTATGGACAAACCCAAGTGAGCCTTTCTTTATTGTCACATTATGTGTATTGTCCAAATACATATATTACAATCTTCTGAACGCTATTCTACTTTAGGCTTCTTAAAACAAAACAAAAGTCTGAATTGTTGCATGTTTCATCAAATCACTGGCGCCTGCCTGTATCACAAATGGTTTATCTGGGTTGGAGTGTTTCAGAACTGGCTTTACAGCAAAGTGGCACTTTAACTTCTTGAATGTGGCATAGCCTTTGAGCGATCAATGCAGAGGCTGCCCAGGCTTGGGTTTCATGCCTTTCCCTGTCCTAAGCAAGTTAGTGATAGCAATGCTATCGGGGTGAACATGGGGATGAATTGGCGATAGAAATTTGCAAAACCAAGAAAGCTCTGCAGCTGCCCCTGGTTCGAAGAGCCTCCCACTCCAGTATTGCCTTCATATTGCCAGGGTCCCTCTCTGCTCCCTCCTTTGAAATTCAATACCCCAAGCAGTCTAAGCTGGTTTTATGAAAATCGCATTTGGATAGCTTTGCGTAGAACTGGGCCTTTCACAATTTTCTGAGTACAGCCCTGACCAGCTTCATGTGCTCCTCTGGAGTCTTGGTGTAAATTAATATATCGTTCAGGTACACCAACCCCTTTGTACAGGTGCTCATGCAGATCATCATTGATTAACATGGCCAGCATTCCCTGCAGGTCAAACAGCATCAGGGCACCAGGACTCTACCCTAGCTGTCTTGAGGCAATGGTGCACTTACCATCAGGTTGTCTTCCCCTTTGCTGTTGATCTCATAGAAGATGGGATCCTTTTTGACAGGGGTTGGAGTTCCCTCCTCCTCACTAGATTAAGGGGAGAACTCTACAACGTGCTGTCCCACATCTTTTTTCTTGTTTCGTGGGGGTCTTCTTCTTCTTGAGCTCGCTCAGGGGCAGGGGAGTAAATGCCAGTCTTGGCGCAAGGGACTTTGCTGCCCAGCATCTTCTTTTCTTCCTCTGTGGGTCAGTTGTTTTTCGGGCATCCATGAGGTTGACTCTCCTGTACAGTGTGCTCGTGATACTCCATCAGATCAATCTCCATTTTTATGGCCACTCCATCATGCTTGCAGGTTATATGGTATCCCCCCCTCAGGGTAGATAGTTGTGATATAGCTCCTTACTCAGTCTGTCTCAAAATTGATAGATCAGCATGTGCTCAGGCCAATCCCTCAGGAGGCTAGCCATGCTGCAGGAGTCTTGAATATACTATTTTATCAGCTGCTTGCCTTGCTTCAGGTTTCATATGCAAGTCTCTGCTCTCTGAGTGGCCATGGGGTCTTTGAACCACTCCCATAGGGTCTGCATGAAGGCATCCAGATAGGCCAGCTCCAGAGCCTCAGCGTCATGGACCATCCACCGTGAAGATCTCCCTTCCAGATTGGCCACAATGGCATATACATGGGCCGGGTCCTCTGGGTACATTCCCCCCATAGTGCTCCATGTGATGCTACACCTGGGGGAGGAAGTGAGTTAGATTGTCTGGGTGTATATCAAAACAGGCCACCAGGCAGGTAGTGGCAACATCCCAATATCCTGGCAGTAGCCCAGCCATGGCCACTGGTGCATGTGTGGGTACTCCTGCTGCTTCCGGAGCCACTGCTGCTGTGCTGACAGTGGTGTGGCAGGTCCTGCCTTGGCCGACCCTTGGACCAGTATCCCGGTAATGCTTTCTAGGGTTGGGGTTGTCAACTGCAGGAGAGGGAGAGATGGGGTGACCAGTGCTGTGAGTGACTTCACTCCACCCATCCCGGTTGGCACTGCCACAGTCGCTGGTGACATGGCTGTCCGAATTTCCAGTGCACCAAATTTCTCCCTCAGCTGCTGCATTGATGGGCTACAATTGGGATCGGCTACGATTGGGAGCTTCTATTCAGCGGGCTCATCCCACTTGACTGGCCATCTTGTCTTCCACATGCTCCTTGGGACCATGTTGATGCCCAAGGGCACTAAGGGGCCCTCAGCCTCCACCTCCTTGCCTATGTTTTGTCACCCATCAGGTTTTTGGCCCCTGGTAGGGGGTATCTCTTACACTCTCTCTTGCACTGGCTGGCAACTGCTCTGACCTCGTCTTTCTGTTTGATGCATGCACTGGCTAGCTGCACCCTGTCTCCAGCATGCAGCATCATTGGAACCTCTTGGGCTGAGACGTCTTCTGGATTCTTCACCTCTTCCAGCTCTTTGTCAGTTTCCAACATTCTCAGGTTCCTTTTGGCCTCCTGGTGGGATCCAGATAGGTTCCATGTTTACCCGAAAATAAGACTGGGTCTTATTTTCTTTTGGGCCTCAAAATAAACACTAGGGTTTATTTTCAGGAGTGGCTTATTTTCCCCCCATGTATGGGAGGCCCACTTCTGCTACGTGGAGCCGCCCCATATTTCCCCAACCAGCTTACCTCAGGGCCCTCACAGCCAGGCCATCCACACACCAACACCTGCCTCGCCTCACAGCCATGGCACGGGTGCACCACTCAGCCTCCTGCTCCGTTGCAGCCACGAGCAAGCAGAAGAAGTGGGTCAGAGGCCACGTGGGCCCCTGCTGCACATGGCTGGTGGTACTGCTGTGGTGAAGCAGTTGTTGGGGCATGGATGGCATGGTTGCGGGGGCCCTAATGTAAGCTGGTATGGGGAGCGTGGGGCAGCTCCACCATCTTCCCACATCACCTCGTGGCTGTGGCACAATGAGCAACTAGATGGAATGGGTGGCTCCACGGCTGCACAGACTCTTAAGTAGGGCTTATTTTGGGGGCAGGGCTTATATTAGGCATGCTAGGTCTTATTTTTGAGATAGGTCTTATTTTCAGGGAAACAGATACTTAGAGAAGTATGGCTTAATTTCAACCGAAATTTTTCATTTTACCAAGAGTATAACTTTATTGACAGATCCAAATAGGTACAGAAGAAGCAAAGCCAATTCTAAGGTTTGGGCACGAAGCACAGCATAGTAAAAACTCATTTTTCCTTCCCTGGGCCACCCAGTGTCCGCTGTCCATCAATCCAAGTTAAGCATTTTATTTTGGGAAACAGTCTGCACTGTTCAAAAGTCTTCAGTGTCTGACCTTGGAGTTGCGAGATTTTCTCAGGCTGCAAACGGCTCACGTAAATTCCTTTTCTCCCTCCCAGCTCCCCACACACTCTAATCATATCTATCCCCCCTCCCCTAGCTTCTTTGTCAAGTTGCAAGCGGAAAAGAGGTGCCTTGCAAGTCAAGCTTGACAACTCAGCTGTTAGAACAAGGCATTGAATATGGGACTATAGGACTTGACTAACTCTGATAGACTGAAAGAAACTACAGGTTTCACTTCAGCCATCTGTAAGCTTTTTTTGGCACAAAATATCCATAGGAGAAAATGTTTTCTGCTGAGAAAAGATCAGGGTGTATTCTTACATGGTGGATAGAGAATTGTTTATCTCTACTTGGTTAGCAGACAAGTGCATGAATCTTTTGATGTGCAGAACAAAGAATAGCTTTTGAAAGGAATTTTTACCTGAAGATTGTCTAGGGTTTATGTCCTTCATTCATGCTGAAATTAAGGGAAATCTCATCCATAAACTTCCTATTGTCCTAGATCAGGGCTGTCAAACTCCCAGCCTGTGGGCCGGATGCATCATGTGCTCGCCACGTCCACGCCTGGTTTAGTGAAGGGGGGAAAGTCTCGACATGTCACGTGATGCCACTGTCACGATGTGAGTTTGATACTCCTGCCCTAGATCATTTAGATCTACAGATAAAAGGCTCTTTAAAGATGTATGTATGTGTATATAAGTCAACCCTCCTGTTTGTTTACTCGTTCAGTTTGTAGCCCAACTTCTCATTTATGATCAAATGATCCAACAGACAATTGTAAAAATTAGAAAGAGAGTTTGGGTATTTATTTCAACGAGCCCCATCACCATGTTCTTCCCTATGTGTTAAACATTTATTTCTCTGGTAAAATACATCACTGGAATTTCAGTTCCTTTGTGAGACACTCCAAGACAAACAATCTTATTTTTTCCTTTTCCCGTTCCAGGCAACAGTTGTGGGGTTTCAAGCTCTTGCTGAATATGAGATTCAGATGTCTACCCATAAGAACTTAAATTTAGATATTGTTATTAGGCTGCCAGAACGAAAAATACCTATAAACTACAGACTTGATGCTACCAATGCTGCTCGAGCCCAGACAACAGAGGTACAGTAGTATTTCAGCAAGTGTATTTATTACTCTTTTCATTGGAAATAATTATGTTGGAGTTTAAAGTTGAAATGCATCTTTGTTCAAGAACTGGGAAAAACTCAGGGGTGAAATGCTCCCGGTTCGGACCGGCTCGGGCGAGTAGGTAGCGATAATGGCCAGTGGTTCAGAGAACCGGTAGTAATGACAACTCGAGGCTCCGCCCATCCACCCATCCACCCAGTCATTGTTACTTCCTGATTTTACTTCCAGAGAATCAGTAATAAAAAAATGCTTAAAAGTTTTTTAAAAAGTTCCGACGATCAGCTGAGCGATGCACAATCGTGGGAACTTTTTTTTTTTTTTTTTTTTACTTTTTAAGCATTTTTTTCTACCGTTTCCGGAGAAACAAAGTACTTGGCTGCTCCCTCTTTTCACTCACCCCGAGCTTCCTGCTGTGGATTTTCATGCCTTGCTTCACACGCCTGGGATTGTCGCCCTCGACTTCTTCTTCCTCTTCTCTCTCCAAGTGGAAAAACGCCAGGAGCAAGTGCAAAAAGAAGCGCTTGCTTCCTCCTGCCGTTTCTCCATTTGTAGGAAGGTTTCGTACCTATGAAGGCAAGTCTGGCTTCCTGCGCTGCTCACTAAAAACCTCACCAGTACCGATGTGCGCGCAGGTTGTGTATGTGTGTGTGTGTTTGTTCCTGGTCTTTCGTAGCAGCCCATGTCTGATGTCTCGTCCCCAGCCGGCTGAACCGGAGTTCGGGAATTCACCCCTTCTGGCCTTTCCCGGGCCAGGCTGGCTGAAGCTGCCCCCAGATTGTGCTCCTTGGGTGGTGGGTCTGCTTGGGGGAGGTGCCTTGGAGGTCGTGTGGCGTGACAGCCCATTTCCACTGCTTTTAAAGGCCCCGGAGCGGATCTGGACACTGCCATTCCAAGCCTGCCGGGGGCAACCACTGCCTCACCTGTTGCGCCTCCCGGGCAGGCCAGTCAGGGGTCTCTGGGGCAGCTGGAACAGCCAAGGTGCCCACTCCCCTTCCTGCGGCAGTGGGGGCGGAGCGAGGTGCCTTTAAGATGGGCAGCCGGGGATGGGACATTGTGCATGGGCTGCTGCGAAAGACCAGGAACAAAGACACACACACACACAGGCTCGGAATGGCAGCATCCGGATCTGCTCTGGGGCAGTGGGTCCGATCAGGAGCTCTTTAAGGCCCCGGAAGGTATCTGGGCGCTGCCATTCCAAGCCTGTGTGTGTCAACCTGCCATCATTTGCTTTCGTTTCACGGCAGAAGAAAGTGAAAGGCGGGGGCGCGGCACATGCACGTGCGCATGTGCATGTGCAGCAGCCCCAGGACGTCCGTGGTCCACCTGCCCACCCGAAGCGCCACCACGCCACTGTCTTTTTGCTTTCTTCCTTCTCCCACCGGAAAACGAAAGCAAACGTCGGCAGGTTACTTTGGGAGGTTGCTTCTGGCAGGTGGACATCTGCAGTCAGGTGGGCAGGGAGGGTGGTGAGAGCAGCGGCTGTAGCTGCCCCTTCCATGCTCAGTACATGGACATGGGGAAGGCGGGCAAGGCGGCACTGGCGCGCCTCTTGTTGTGGAGGCATGGTGATCGCTTGACCAGGCGGCAGCTGCATATGCCTGTCTGCCCGCACCATGCTCCGCTCCGGCCAGCCGCATGACTGCAAGTGCACCCAGACCGAAAGGAAAGCGCCGCAGTCTCTGTGGTGGCATGGCTGGGCCTGGCCCTCTCCCCGCATGGGGGGAGGGGGTTTGTGCCCCGCCGGTGGCTTCCGCCCCTCTTACTTTGCTTATTCGCTGCCGGGAAGCGCCACCGTGGCTGTGCCTTCTTCCCCTGGAGTGCTGGACTCTGCGGGCTGAGTTCCCAGAGTGGTGCTGGCAGGCAGGTGGCTGGGTGGGAATCCAGTGGGCTGCTTTGGAGCCCCAAGCCCCGCAGAGCCGGCACAGTGGAAGGCAGCCTTTTCTGCAGCATCCCCCTCCCCTCTTTGGATTGCCCTGCAGGGGAGGGGGCTCTGCCTTTGCAGAAATGGGGTGGGCGGTTTGTATGGAGGATTGGCAGAAGGAATGTGGGGGAGGGAATGCGCTCCTGGCTCTAACAGTGAGTGACGTCAAGTTGGCCACGCCCACCCAGTCACATGACCACCAAGCCATGCCCATCAAGCCACGCCCACCGAACCGGTAGCAAAAAAATTTACATTTCACCCCTGGAAAAACTATACAGAATTTAGTGAAACAAGAAAGAAAACTTAAATCAGTTCTTCCTATTGGAATTGAGGTGGTTGGAGTTTAGCCCATGTTCAAGCATCAGATCAGGGGAAAGTGGCTTAAAACTACTAGCTTCCTTGTCAACATACAGTGTAGTTTTAAATGACTTCCCTTTCCTCACACAAAGCTGCAAAAGGCTGTATTTAAGAGAATATTGCAAAATTGTGTCTGTACTTTCAAGAACTATTCCTAGGAAAGAGATTTGAATGGCTCTGAGGGACTTTTGGAGCACTTCACAACACCTTCACTTAGTACATGAAGATAAAGTCATTAAAACGACCTATTGCTATTTGCTATTTCTGATATTGCAGAAGAAATTTAGAGCCAATGTAGACGTATGATACTAATAGAGTTTGAATATGTTTATATATAGATCTGGTACAATCAAGTAGAAAGAAATATTTGTGAAATAGCATCTGAGGGAAAAGCACATGTAGGCATGAATTATTACCAATATACCAATAGTAATAGGGGCCTTGGGTGCAATCCAGTGGTGGGTTGCTCCTGGTTCACACTGGTTCGCAAGAACCGGTAGTAATATTGGCTGTAGTTTGGAGAACCGGTAATAACATTGGCTGGCCACGCCCTCGAACCAGTCCCCGGCCCGGTCGCCACTCGCTTATCCCGCCCACCTCATCAGAGTTTTTTGTTTTTTTACTTTTAAAAGCATTTTTCAACCTCTTTGGCCAAAAAAAAATTAAAAGTAAAAAAAAAAAGCCTCTGATGATCGCACGGCTCAGCTGGGATCATCAGAGGCTTTTAAAAGCATTTTTTTCTGCAACCTCTTCGACCGAAGAGATTGTAGGGGAAAAAATGCCTTTAAAAGCCTCTGGCAATCCAAGCTGAGTTGCCTGATCGTCAGAGGCTTCTAACAGCATTTTTTTCTGCAACCTCTTAAGGTTGTAGAAAAAATGCTTTCAAAAGTTAAAAAAAAAAAGTTGGCCACGCCTACCCAGTCACATTACCCCCACCAAGCCACGCCCACAAAATAAGCCATGCCCACAGAACCAGTAGTAAAAAAATTTAGAACCCACCCCTGGTGCAACTGGAGCACCACTTAATCACCTGCAGCATTGATTAATCACTGTCAATCAATTGCAAAAGGCAGCTTTACTCGGAACAGCTCACATCCTGTGACCATATCTTTAACACCATCAAAGAACAAAATCTGCCTATCCTTTGTCCTTGGAAATGACTCACCAGGTGGATAGAAATGCCAAATCCAGTCTAAATATCTGGCTGATTGTGCGAACAACCAATAATAATGACAAAGTGACCCGACATATTTGTATATCCAGTTATGCATTATTTTTCTTTGGACCGACTCTGAATGTAAAATGAAGAATTATCATGGTTCATCACACAGTCAGCAGATGTTAATATAAGAACTCCTGTCATTAACTTTTCTGACGAACATTTACGAACTTAAACCTCCTTTGAGCTGGATATTGGATTCCCTGATGCTGCTAATCCCAGGAGGGATACTGGTTCTATGGACATGGGGCCGAGGAGGCGGAATATGGCTATCCTCACCCTTGAGCTTTCTATCAAAGTCTCCATGGATTGGCCTGGTGAGAGACGGCCACCCTGGAACTTTCGGGGTCGAATGATATGCACCTCCTTAGCCACTGTCGTGAGAGGACAGTGGAGCTTGGCAGCCTGACCATGGACTGGAATTTTCCCTACGCTTATAACATCAGTGGTCCCCCACCCTTGGACTGTTTCCCCTTGATAGCTATATGTATTCGGTGTCGGAACTCCTCGCCCTGCGAGATTCTCCCCTCTCGCAGATTTGGCCCCCCACATTATCGAGGGCCTATCTCGATGACGGACTTTGGAGTCCGGAGAGATGGCATGGAGCAAGGAAGAATTTATGGGGCTTTTTAGGGAAATTTTTAAAGATTTTAAGGGGTTCTGGGGGAGGGGGTTGTAATTATTCTTTTAAAGATATTGGGAAGACGACTAAGGCGGATTGGGGGGAAAATCCACCAGGGTCAGAGCCGTGCCCGGCACAGGGTAACGATCCGGGGGGTACCGGACGAGGGATTGGGAAAGGGATGGGGGACGATATCTATGAGGGCTGTACCATCGGCACGGTGAATGGGAGGGGCAGATATGGCGGGAGCAGGGGACCACATCAGGTGCTGGGGGCTCGCACTTGCTGTCTGAGAGCAATTGCTTGCCCCGGTCCCCAAGGCTCTGCTCGGATACTAGGTGGCTTAGATACTCAGGAGCTGGGCCTTCGGCTGATGCTGTGCAATGCCAGGTCCGTGGTCAATAAGGCCCCCCTCATTCACGATCTTATACAAGAGGGAGGAGCGGACCTGGCGGGTATTACGGAGACCTGGTTGGGCCCGGAGGGTGGCGTCCCTCTGGTTGAAATGTGCCCACCAGGCTTCAGAGCATTCCATCAGCCGAGGGCTCAGGGGAGGGGCGGGGGGGTGGCGGTTATTATTAACGAGGATCTGGGTCCGAGGGAGACCACTGTGCCTCAGATAGCCGGATGTGAGTCCCTCCTTGTGAGTGTGGCCGTGGGGTTCAGATGGGCTTGTTGCTTACGTACCTGGCTCCCTGCCGCGTGGCAACAGCCCTACCTGAGCTACTCGACGTGATAGCCACGGTGGCAGTAGATACACCCAGGCTTTTAGTCATGGGTGATTTCAACTTGCCATCCGTCGGTGAAACGTCTGAGGTGGCTCGGGAGTTCATGGCTTCCATGACGGCCATGGACCTGACCCA